TAAATCCCTGGCCCCAAGGCAGTGCTTTTTTGGGGTGTTTTGTTTTGGTACCAGGGATCAAACTTGGGACCTTGGGCTGGCAAGGCAGGCGGCGGAACCACTGAGCTAAATCCCCGACCTTTTTTTTTTTTTTTTTTGAGACAAGGTCTCACTATGTAGTTCAGGCTGGGCTTGAACTTACTATGTATCCCAAGCTGGTCTCGAACTCATGGCAGTCTTCCTGCCCCAGCCTCCCAAGTGCTGGGACTATAGGTATGCGCTACCACATCTGGCAATAAAAGGAAGAAATTATTAAGCAGACATTATTTTGAGAAGAGTTTGAGAAAATATTTCCTATGTTCTTACTTTGTTATTCTCAATCACAAGAGATTGTAGGAAATCGCCAACACTGAGACAAATTTGAGTCCTTTATTGCTGGAGGTTGAGAGTGGCTAGTGCTGGAAACCTCTGACTTTGAAAACTGGCTTGTGGGTTTCTTTTAAGCGGGTCTTCTAGTTGGGGAGGGGGTCAGGGAGAGGAGGAGCCCAAGCAGAATTTTACAGAAGCAAAACTTTGCTAAGTTAGTGGGGGTCGGGAAGTTTCACACTGTTTAGTTGAAACAAAATATCACACAAGTGTGGAATATTCTGTTCACAGGGTCATAAAGCTAACATACAGCTGCAGACTGTTCTACCAAATGGGAAGGTCATAACACACAGCTGCAGACTGCTCTACCAAACAATGCGTTGGTCTGTCATGTATCAACTGAGGGGGACTACCAAGAGGAGGAGGAGGCCACCGTCCAGAAGCACTTGACTTTACACAAAATGGAGGGGGAACAGTGACGAGGCATAAAATGGAGTCAGGTTGGCCATTACAACTTAAAGGATGGAATTTTTTTTTTTTTTTTTCAGTACTAGGGATCAAACTTAGGACCTTGTACTTTTTTTTTTTTTTTTTGGTACCGGGGATTGAACTCGGGTCCTTGCACTTGCACAGCAGGCAGCGAAACCACTGAGCTAAATCCCCGGCCCAGGACCTTGTACTTTTGAGGCAGGCACAGCACCACTGAGCTAGATCCCCGGACCAAGGATGGAATTTTAATAGTTGATGAGGGAAACCCTACATACTGGTGGATAGGTTTAGGTAGATACTACTGGATAGACTTTTTTTTTTTTTTATACTGGAGCTTGAACCAGGGCCTTCACACTGAGCTACATCCCCAACCCTTTAAAAAAAATATTTTATTTTGAGACAAGGGCTTGCTGAGTTGCCCAGGATGGGTTCAAACTTGTGATCCTCCTGCCTCAGCCTTCCGGAGTGCTGGGATTACAGGGATGTTCCACCATGCCAGCTCAGATTTTTAAGAAGCCTGAGCTGGGGATGTAGCTCAATGGCATAGCACCTGCCTGGCAAACATGAGGTCCTGAGTTTGATCCCCAGTACCAAAAAAAAGAAGACTGTTTGTCTTGGGTTTATCACCAGGATGAAAATAGTAAGAAAGAGGCTGGGGATTTAGCTCAGTGGGGCCACGCCTGTCTCGAAAATGCAAGGTCCTGAGTTGGATCCCCGGTACGGGGGTGGGGGGGTGAAAAATAGGTCTTTTGAGTTTATTTATTTATGTATTTAGGTACAGGGGATTGAACTCAGGTCTTTGGGCTTGTGAGGCAGGCAGCACGTAACCACTGAGCTAAATCCCCGGCAGAAATAGGTCTTTTGTTACTGGTTTTTTTCCTGCCTTTCTGTGCCTATGGCCACTGATACTTAGGTTGCATAACAGCTTTCACCTTGTTTTAGAATGTCTCTACCATAACTTGAGTATTCCTAGCCTAACATGGTTCATGAGTTTCTTGGCAGTTATCTTGTATATAGAAGGAAATCAGTGGAAAGATGAAGTTAATAGAAGAGTATTCTGGCAAGAAAAGCACAATAGATTAGTTTAAGGTTTTTTTTTTGAAGAGTAGGAAAAATTTATTGGGAGATAGAAAGCTTCTGCCTAAGAGAGACAGAAGGGGGACCAGAAAATGGATTGTCCGCCCACCCCACTTTTCAAGGATGCTTTATACAGCAAAAGCATGTGGTGAGGGAGGTATAAAGTGGGACAAAACTATAAGACCCAATGGAAATTTACAAGGTGGCCATGAGGTGGGGCAAAACCATGACCAATCACCCAGGTAATATTGATTAAATGGGGGTCAAATGGGGGAGCAAGTCATGTAGCAAGTGTACCAGGATTTTCAGTAAGGGTGGGTCAGGGATCTTTCCTGGAGAGTGTGGGTTAAGACCTTGGGCCCCCACCCAGGTGATTGATACCTGCTTAGAATATCAGACACTGCTATTCATCCTACATGGGTGTGATAGTTTCTCTCCTTTTACAATGCTGGCCTTCGGTGAATGTGTCTTCATTGTCCTTTGTGTTGGCACCTCCTGGGCTGGCCCTAACTGCCAACAAGATATCTAATTAACTTACCTATCTGCAATATTTCCCCCTTTGAAGAAGTACCCCTAACTGCTGTGAGGGGGCAAAGTAGTTTTAGTTTTTTGCTGGCAGGGCAAGTGGTTATAGGACACCTTTTACCCTTCTGTTCTTTCTCCTCATGGTCTTCCTTCTTTTTCTATCACAATTCAGTGAACTTTGCTTAAATTTTTTTTTTAGAAAACCAGTATGAAGCTGGGAGTGGTGGTGCATGCCTATAATCCCAGCACTTGGGAGGCTGAGGCAGAAGGATTGCCATAACTTGGAGGCCAGTTTGGGCTACATAGTGAGTTCAAGGCCAGCCTGTACTACATAGCAAAGCCGGTCTCAAAAAAAAAAAAAAAAGAAAGAAAACCAATATGAAAAAGAATTCTGATACCAAGAGTGGAAACTTACTGTTCTGCACTTGAGAGGCCTGTCGGCTTAGGACCCTAAAGTCTGAATTATTTTTTCCATATGTGTTATGTTCTAGTTAATTCTTTTTTTTTTTTTAGATATTCGTGACACTGTGAAGTATAAAGAAGTCATGAAACAGTATCCTTTTCAGTGTCTACTACAGTAGCTGTCTCTGTGTTTTATGGGTTTGAGAGTGTTTTTGCCTTAGCTGTTGAAATATACAATCAAAAGTATTGATGGAAGTCATTTTCTTAGGAGAATGTTAGATCAATGGAGGTGAGGTATCAGAAATACCATTTTAGTTTGTGATCTGTTTTCTGACTGTGTCCCTCAGCCATAGACTGTTGTCTATAGTTAATAGTTAATTAGGAGGGCCGGGGATTTAGCTCAGTGGTTCTGCCGCCTGCCTTGCAAGCTCAAGATCCTGAGTTTGATCCCCGGTACCAAAAAAAAAAAAGTTAATTAGGAAAAATAAGAGGCTAGCTCACTACTGCTTGGGTCCCATAATGTGGTATTGCCTTGGAGAATTGATACATTCTCTGATTACTACCTCTTCACACAGGGAGACTTGGAATGAGTATGTGTAGTTAGATTGATTGGTGCATTCCTGTGTGACATGTGTGCTGTCCATGTAGGCAAATCTAATCATAAATTCTAATCAGCAGGTTGCTTGATTGATAATGATGAGAGCAGGGAGTGTTATATAGCTGATTGTAATGGCTAAAGCTGATAGGCTGTTACTGCCTAATATATTGTAATTATATTTTGGTCACTTTGCTTTTTTCATCTTGTCTAGCCATCCCTAAAATGATAACTGAATAAGGAAGACCTTGACAGTTCATGAATTCCTTTGAGGCCAAGGTTTTGTCTTATTCCCAAGGATTAGGTTGTGCCTATGTCTACTAATGGAATACTAGTCTAATGCTATTGGGTGACTAATACTGTAGGGGTGAACTTTACATCTAATCTATCAAGTATAAATCCTCAACTGAGTGCCCAGATATGGACTTGGGCCCAACGGTGGCATCGTGACCTCGCTCAATCTCTTTGCTACCAGATTTGATCAGGTACATCTGTCTTTGTGTTGACAGATGTGGCTGTGTAGAAACGTGACTCGTGCCTTGGCCTCATTACATTTATAAAGAAGAGCAGCAAACCTGGGCAGAAATACAGAAAAGAAGTAGGCATCTTGGTAGACAGAGAAGGAGACTATGAAAAGACGATCAGTGTTGTGAGACAGTTTTTATTTACTCTTCGTGACAGCCAACAAAACAAATGCAAGAGCTCTGGGTTCTTTTTTCATAGGGGCTTGTGGTTTTATCTGAGGCTGTGGTGGGGGGCCGGGTGTCGGGTCGGGTAGCAGGCATAAAAAGGACACTTTTTCCTTGTGACAGGTTTTCTCTGTCGCCTGCTTCCATAATACTTTCCTGTGATATCACTCCATGACTGTTTACATTGACCAAAGCCATGTGTGATAGCAGTGCATCGCTAGTCCCTACTACTCAGGAGGCTGAAGAAGGGGACTCAGTTGAGCAAAGGTCTTAAAAAAAAAAAAAAAGAAGAAAGGAAAGAAAAATTTCATCAGAGTGCCAGAGGGTTTTACCTCACTGTGACAAGTTAAGTTTTGAGCTCCTCGGGTCCTTGCAGTGTTGCTCAGGAAGTTGCAGGGCTGCTAGTGTGGCTGTTGTGCCTCTTTGGCTCAGTGAGTTTTTCAGTCACTGTCCTTAGTTTGTGAACATAGAGAGTCCCTAGGTGACGGTGCCTGGAAGGCAGGTCACTGGAGTGAGTTTTTAGTGACCTTAGATCCTGTTGTAACTGGCATCTTTTTCTTTTAGGTGATGAAATTTGTTGAGAAAGCCCAGAACACTTCTAAGTAAGTCATGTCAGCTGAACACCTGTTTCTTATTCTGCACATTTCTAGGCCTTTGATAGCTTTGGGGTTCCATGAAGACCAGAAAGGGTGTTGATTGAGGTGAAGCCTGCAGAAGTAAGAAAAAGTGAATGACAAAATCATTAAGGTGCTGTGTAGTACAGAGCTGAATTTAGTATTTCCCACCTCTTATTACTGTGGCTGCCAATTTACATGACTTCTTTGGAGGTATCGTTTTGTTTAGTTTTCCTTTTTTTTTTTTGGTACTAAGGATCAAACTCAGGACCTCATGCCTGCCAGGCAGGCGCTATGCCACCGAGCTAAATCCTTGGCCTGTTTTGCTTTTTGAGACAAGGTCTCAGTATGTAATGCAGGCTGGTTTTGAACTCACTACATAGCCCAGGCTGGCCTCAACTTGCAGTGATCCTCCTGCCACAACCTCCCGAATGCTGGGATTATAGGCATGCTCCACCACACCTGGCTCTGGAGGTATCTTTTTAAAAAAAATTTGGTACTGGTGATTGATCTCAGGACCTTGCATTTGTGAGGTGGGTGTGGTGCCGTTGAGCTAAATCCCTAGCTCTGGAGGTATCTTGAGATGTTCAGATTCTTTTTTTTTTTTTTTTTTTGGTACTGGTGATCGAACTCAGGACCTTGTGCTTGCGAGGCAAGCACAGTGCCACTGAGCTAAATCTCTGGCCCTATGATGTTCAAATTCTTGTGTCTACCAGCCTTCTCTTGGGAAACTGTTTGTTGACATTAAAGCCTCTTGAATATCCTTCTAACCCTTGTTTAGCTGAATATAATTTACATGATTCAGAGAAAATAGTTTTTCAATTTGAAAAGTAGCAAAATGTAAAGTATTATCCACATGTAGCTATTATTTCATAGGTTTACTTTTTTTCAAGAAAAAAGGCAATTTTTTTTTTTAAAAGCACATAGATTCACTGTAAAGAATTAAAACCTACACAGTACTTAAAAGATAAAACGGTTACCCTGATTTCTACTACCAGTGAAGGCTCAGTTTTCCATGACTGGCATTCTGCGATTCTGTATATACACAGAGATAGGAGGACGATGTGTAAAAGTGTTCTTACACCGTGGATTATTCTAGTGTAACGACAGGCTTATAGTCCACAGTGTGGCAGCTCTTAGTGGTATAGCAAGATCAGGCCAAGAGGAATTGAGAACGCACCCGGAGGTTGGAGACAAGTTTATTACAGTGGTGGACTGATGAGGGATTTCTCCACAGAGTAATCAGCCCGGAGCTGACAGTGAACAGGGTTTATATGAATTAAGGGAAAGGGGGTTGGAATACGGAAGCAAGGCATTTATTATCAGTGCAAGATTGAGGAAGCTACATTTAGGTTACATGATTTGATAGAAAAGTACACTGGATACAGACACTTCCTGAGAACAAAGGACAATGAAGGAGGACATGTGTTAGGTGTGGGAGGGGGATGAGCTGGGGGTGGCTCTTTGTCAGTTAGGTCAGCTCGCCACAAGAAAAACTTTTTGCTGAGAAATCGTTTTCTGGCCCACTAGAGCCAATTGGGGTTTTTTTTTGGTACTGGGGATCGAACTCGGGACCTTGGCAGTTGCAAGGCAGACCACAGAACCACTGAGCTAAATCCCCAGCCCTAGAGGCAGTTGTTTTTAAAGAAAATAGCAACTTCACTGCAATATGATTCACTTTCTCTTTTAAAATGTATAATGTAATGCTTTTGTACATTCACTAGCTTGTGCATTCATCGCCACTAATTGGACACCGTTCTCATCATTCCCCCAGCCCCATACTCATTACCAGTCACTCCTCACTTTTCCTTTCCCCATCCCCTAGCATCTGCCCCATTTTTCATTTCCACCAGCAGCGTGATTTAGCTACACCCACAATCGCCAGTCTCCACAACACTTGTTAATGACCTTTTTTTGTTGCTGTTGTTGTACTAGGGTTGAACCTAGGGCTTTCTCACTGAGTGACATCCCCAGCCCTTTTTAAATTTTTATTATGAGACAAGGTCTTACTAGGTCACTCAGACTGGGGCCAAATTTGCAGTCCTCTCTCAGCCTTACAGCTGGGATTAGAGGCCTGCGCCACCACACCTTACTTAAATTTCTTTTCTGTGCTGAGGATCAGACCCAGAGCCTTGTGCATGCTAAACATGAACTATAACACTGAGTTATACCTCCAACCCCCTTTTGTTTTTGATTATAGCTCTCCTAGTGGTTGAGAAGTGGTATGGAATTGTGGCCTTCATTCATATTTCCATAATGACTAATAATGTCCAGTGTCTTTAGGGCACTGCTGTGTTTTTGGAGAAATGTTTCATAAATTTTTTTGTCATTTATTTTTTAATTTCATTTTATTTATCGGTACTGGGGATCAAACCCAGGCCATTTGGGTTTGCTGGGCAAGTGCTCTAGCATTGAGCTAGACCTAGGCTTTCCTACTCATTTTAAGACAGGACCCCCTAAGTTACCTGGCTGGCTTGGAAGTGGCCCTTCTCCTTCCTGCTTTGGCATCTGTGGTAGTTGGGATCACAGGCATATGCCACCATGGCTAGCTGCTGGTTTGTTCTTGTAGTGCTGGCCTCAAACTCAGAGGCTTGTGTATACTAAGCACACGCCCTTCCACTGGTCTACAACTCTAGCCTGGTGTTGCCCATGTAAACAAAATATTTTACTGAAGTACAATTTATGTACTATCTAATTCACCTGTTTAAAATGTACAATTCAGTGGCTTTTAGTATATTCTCAGAATTGTGCAACTATTGCCCGATCAATTTTATTTTATTATTATTATTTATTTAGTTTTTTTGAGGCAGGGTCTCACTGTGCAGTTCAGGTTGACCTTGAACTCATTGTGCAGCCCAGGCTGGCCTCAAACTCAAGGTGATCCTCCTGCCTCAGCCTCCCGAGTGCTGGGAGTAGAGGCCTGTGCCATCAGGCCTGGCTATAAATTTTAGAATGTTTTCATCACTTCAGACAGATGGCCTAGCAGTACCTATCCCTCCAGCTGTCCTCTGTACTCCCTTATCCCCACGCAGCCAGATGTTTTTCCAGGAGTTTACTTTCTGGTTTTGTATATCTCTCAAGTTTAATGCATTGTGCTTCTGTAACAGTTTTCCATTAGCATTTGCAGCAGTTCACAGTGTGGTGCTCTTGGTCCTTAGCATGAATATTGTCATGGAACAAAGTCTAGGAATATGGTATGCAGTTTAAGGGCCATGGTAGGAAGTCCACTTGTCAGTGTAGATATTGAATAGATTTTTTGCTTTTTAAAAAAATTTATTTAATAGTGGTTCCGCTGCCTGCCTCGAAAGCGCAAGGTCCTGAGTTTGATCCCTGGTACCAAAAAAAAATTAAATAGTACTGGGAATGGAACCTAGGACTATGTTAGGCAAACTCTACCACTGAGCTACATCCCTAGCCCTTTTTGTTTTATTTTGAGATAAGGTCTTGCTAAATTGTGTAGTCTGGCCTTCAACTTGTGATCCTCCTGCCTCAGCCTCTAGAGTAGCTGGCACTACAGGTATGCCTCACTATGGCTGGCATATCTACTGTTCTGTGTGATGTAATACTTTCAGCATCTCACAACTCTTAGCACTTCTTTAATGCCTTCCTTACATACAGATATGTCTTGATTGACACGCCCGGACAGATTGAAGTATTCACCTGGTCAGCTTCTGGGACAATCATCACCGAGGCTCTGGTGAGTATTCTAGGTTTCGTTCCTGACAGTAGCTGAGGCCTAGACCGACGTAGTATCTGTTTAATTGTCCAGGACTGTGTGTTGGAGGGAGCCATGGTGGCTCTGCACACCCTGTCTGAAATGGTTCTTCCCTGTTCAGGGAGGCAGAAAAAGAGTATGGGACAGGGCATGAGCCCTCTGACCAAGGCTTCAATTTTTTTGTGGCTTTAGGCATCGTCATTTCCAACAGTAGTCATCTACGTGATGGACACATCGCGAAGTACTAACCCAGTGACCTTCATGTCCAATATGCTGTATGCCTGCAGGTAACTGGTTACTGGTAGGGAGTTTTCCACCAAGAAATGAGGCCTCCTTCTCTTCTCTCCTTTTTGTTTTTGAATCCTGGTTGTGTACCTTTGGATTGTGCTTACTTTGATTTGCCACTCAGCTGAGTGCCTGTGAGTTGGAGAAAGTCAGAGAAAACACATGTGCTGTTAGCATTCTTAGTCATCACCTTCTGATCTTCCCCTCTTGGCTTATTATAGAAATAGGTGGTCTAGGGCCAGATGTGGTGGCAAACACCCATGATTCTAACAATTGGGAGGCTGAGGCAGGAGGATCTCAAGTTCGAGGCCAGCTTGGGCTATACTGCAAGACCCTGTCTCAAAAAAAAAAACAACAAAAAACAAAGCAAAAAGAAATATCTATATGCCTATGAACCTTATAGTGGTTGCTCCCAGTTGAATGAAATACAAATCTGATCCAAATGGTGCTGTAACAGGTAGAGTGAAATGGTAACACGAGGAACTACTGTGAATACATTGCACAGGTGCGCCTGAAGTGTGAACAGGGAGAGGGGACGTGCCTCACTGCACTGTGTCAGCACATTAGGACTGAGGGAGCTGGGCGTGGTCTGTAATCCCAGCACTGAGCGGGGTAAGGCAAGAGGATCACAAGCTTGAGTCCTGCTGGGCAGCTTAGCCAGACTGTCTCAAAAAAAAGTGGTAGGGCTGGGGATTTAGCTCAGTGGCACTGTGTCTGCCTCTTAAGCGGAAGGTTGTGAGTTCCATCCCCAGCACCAAAAAAAATAAAAAGGGCTGGATGTAGCTCAGTAGAAGAGTGCCCCCGACTTCAATCCCCACTTCTGCAAAAAAAAGAAAAAGACCAAGCAGAAGGTAGTCCATCATGAAAGCTGAGAGAACTTAACCTTTTTTTTTTTTTGGTACCGGGGATTGAACTCGGGTCCTTGTGCTTTCTTTTTCTTTTTCGTTTTTCATTTTATTGCTACATTTTAGATGTACATAATGATTACATTCATCATAAGGAATGTGTACCTGTATATGATATATCTTATATCTTGCTTCTTTTTTTCCCATTACCCTCCCCTCCCTTCAACCAGTTTTCACCTCCTTATTTACAAAAGCTTTGTTTCCAGGGTTTTTTTTTTTTTTTTTTTTGGTACCAGGCACTGAATTTGGGTCCTTGTGCTTGCGCAGCAGGGGGCGAAACCACTGAGCTAAATCCCCGCCAAACATTTACTTTTTTTTTGGTACCTGGGATTGAACTTGGGACCTTGTGCTTTTGAGGCAGCGAAACCACTGAGCTAAATCCCCCGCCCTAGAACTTAATCTTAAGGGTACACAAAAGCCACCACCACCTTGTCTCTTGTGATTTCAGTAGGAATGTTGTTTCTTCTCATTGGATGCAAAAAAGCCTAATCCAAATGGAAATCTCATGACTAACCTAATTATTTCATTTTTGTGTTATTTAAAGGACAGTTGTTTGATTAGCTTAATTGTAGTAATCACTTCAACAGATCAAAACGTCCTGGGGCTAGGAGTATAATTCAGCTGTTGAGCACAGGCTTAGCATAGGCAGGCTCTGGGGTTGATCCCTAGCACCCCAATGAATGAATGAATGCATGAATGAATGAATAAATAAAGAGAAGGGGAAGATCTACTTTTTAAAAATTGCATTGTACCCCTTAAAATATCCTTTTTTGGGTCAAATTTATATCAATAAACCTAGGAAAAATTTTAAAAGCTTCAGTCTGTAAAATAACTTTTTCTTTCCTGTACTAAGGATTGAACAGGGCCTTCACACTGAGCTGCATTCCTACCCTCTCCCTCACCCCTTTTTTCAGTTTGAGACAAGGTCTCACTAAGATGACCAGGCTGGGCCCAAACTGTGATCCTCCTGCCTCAGCCTCCCAGAGTGCTAGGTTTGTGGCCTTGTGCATCATGTGTGGGCTGTAAAATAATGTTATTCCCCAACTTCTTGAGGTGTAATTGACAAAAATTGGATATATTTACATTGCATATTTTTTGTTTTTGAGATTATGTAGTTCAGGCTGGCCTTGAACTCACTGGATCACAAGCTAGCCTTGAACTTCCAGCAACCCTCCTGCCTCAGCCTCTATTACAGGCATGCCCCTATACTTATAATACATATAAAAGTGCTTACTTGGAACAACAGGGGTATTCAATAGATTTTTGTTTCTTCCTCTAGAAAAAGGACAACTATTTTATTTGGGTTTTTTTTTGTCTTTTTTGTTTTTTTGTTTTTTGGTACTGGGGATCGAACTCAGGTCCTTGCGCTTGCGAAGCAGGCGGCGAAACCACTCAGCTAAATCCCCAGCCCCAGGACAACTATTTTATAAAGTATAAAAACTAGGAGCCAGGGCTTTAGCTCAGTGGTTCCACTGCCTGCCATGCAAGCACAAGGTCCTGAGTCGATCCCCAGTACAAAAAAAAAAGCAAACTAGGGCCAATTGTGGTGCATGCCTATAATCCCAGCACTCAGGAGGCTGAGGCAGGAAGATTGCTGTTGAGTTCAAAGCCAGCCTGGGCTACATAGTGAGGTCGAGGCCAGCCTGAACTAAATAGTGAGACCCCGTCTCCAAAACACCAACAAATAAACACTGAAACACTATTAGTTGATGTGAGAATGAGTGAGTATATGACAGTTTTTTTGTTGTTAGCTGTTGGCTCAACAGTTTCAGTCCTTCTCCGCTTAGGAACAGGAGACTGAATGCCATGTTAAAATGAATAACTGTGAATCTGAGTCTCTCTACTTGGTCCTAGCGCACTGATACCAGGCAAGTAAGAGTTTCCGTGCTTGCACTAATGCAGTCTTTTTTTTTTTTTTTTAAGATAAGGTCTCTCTGTGTAGTTGAGGCTGGCCTTGAACTCCCAGTGATCCTCCCGCCTCAGCCTTCCAAACTGATACAGTCTTGATGTTTGATTTTCAGCATCCTGTACAAAACCAAGCTGCCTTTCATTGTAGCCATGAACAAAGTAAGTGGATCCTTCTTATTTCAGCATAATCTTTTTTATCAGAACCTTTGGCTGCAAGAAGGTTTGGATGGGTGGGAAGGATTCTGTCAACTGCTGGAGAGCTGCTTCAGGGTTCATGTGGCAAAGTCGTGGGGACTTCTAGGAAATAGTCAGTTTGGTGGGATGGCCGTTTAGCACTGGCTTTCATCCCCAAGTGTTCAGGGCAGAATAGCCCCTAGAGCAGAGTGTATTGGTATCCCTGAGTCACGGCTGTGTAAGAATGGGAAGGACCACTAATCTATTAGAAGTGGCCACAAAAGAACGACAAAACCCAATTTCTTTTTTTTTTTGGTACCAGGGATCAAACTTGGGACCTTGCGCTTGCAAGGCAGGCGGTGGAACTACTGAGCTAAATCCCCGGTCCCCAATTTCTTTGTCTCTTGAAGTGGAGGAGGTTGGGGGAGGCAGAGAAAGAAAATGTAGACATAGATGCTACGCTCTTTGATGTCACCATGTATCTTAACAAAGTCTTGCATTGTTTCATACATAACCTCATCTCTGGTTGCTGATTGTTGCCTTTTCTCTGGTCCAGACAGACATCATCGATCACAGCTTTGCAGTGGAATGGATGCAGGATTTTGAGGCTTTCCAGGATGCCTTGAATCAGGAGACTACATACGTTAGTAACCTCACGCGTTCCATGAGCCTGGTGTTGGATGAGTTTTACAGCTCACTAAGGGTAAACTTTGTCTTCTCACACTGGTGGTCTTTCCAGTTAGCCTCTGGCCCCACAGGACTGAGCTAACCTAATTAGAAAGGAAGTTGATTACCTTCTGAAAAGTGACTTTTGAAGCATTGCCTACCTGTGGTCTGGCCAAGTAGCTCAGTGGCGAAGCCCTCGCTCAATGTACAGCCTAGGTTTGACCCCCCAGCATAGAAAAAGAAGACAGAAAAAATGGCAGAGATTGAGAAGATAAATAAGAGCTCCTCCTTGGCTGGCCTCTAATCCCAGCACTTTGGGAGGCTGAAGCAGGAGGCTTGCAAGTTTAAGTCCTGCACGGGCAACTTAGTGACATGCTGTCTCAAAACAAAAAGTTAAAGAAAGGGTTGGGGATGTAGCTCAGTGGTAGAGCACTTCTGGGTTCAGTCCCCAGTAACACACACACACAAATCCTACCTTTTGAGTGTTTATGATGTAGTATAGGGTGAAAGGCAGCATGCAGAATTGAAGCATATATTGTGGTAAGTACCTTAGCAAAGATGATGCCTGTGAAGGGGTAAACAAGAGGTGAGATTCTTGAGGTGTAGTATTAGAGGGATGCTGCGTGGGAAGGGTGAGATTTATGTAAGCAAATGTGAGTGTGGGATGTAGAGTGTATTGATTGCCTGGGTAAAATGGCTCGGTTTGGGTTAGGGTGTTTATTTGAGGCAAGGTCTCTCTGTAGCCCAGGCTGGCCTCGAACTCGGTGATCCTCCTGTTTCCCAGGCTCCCAAGTGCTGGGATTATGGGCATGCGTCACCACCCTCAGCCGGCTTAGTTTTTCCAAGGAGTAGCTCATAAGTCCCGCTACTTGTTTGGCCCTGATTATAGCTTTCTTTTTCAATTCTTTATGTTCCATAGACTTACTTTCATGACTCTTGACTAAGTATGGTGGTTTGTTCTGTATTAGCCTTACTTTTTGCCAGAGACTTCTCAAAATATCTACGCCACTTCCATGACAGTTTTTTGTTTGTTTTTTTTCGTGCTGGGGATCGAACTCGGGTCCTTGCGCTTGCGCAGCAAGCAGCGAAACCACTGAGCTAAATCCCCAGCTCCATGACAGTTTTATGACATTTGACCAGAATAATATATAACATTAAAGAATAGTCACTGGTTTGCTCAGTGACATTCATGATGATGCTTGGCAGGTGGTGGGTGTGTCTGCCGTTCTGGGCACCGGCTTTGATGAACTTATGGTGCAGATCACCAGTGCTGCAGAAGAATATGAAAGGTAAGGGGGAAGGAACTTTGTATTGATGACATCCTTAGTGACCACAGTTCTGATATGCTAGCAAAGCATTTAGGTTTTCATCAAGTCTGTTGCGTTTATGCTGTGTATATATGTGGCACTAACTGATTGTGCCTCTGGAACTCATGCCATGTATATACGTACTGAAGCTGACCACGCTCAGGAGTAGCAAATCTCCTTAACTTTTCTTTCTTTTCTTTTTTTATTTGAGACCGGGTCTCACAGTGTAGTCTAGGTTAGCCTTGACCACACCATCCTGCCTCAGCTTCCCAAGTACTGGAATTACAAACGTGTGTCACCATGCCCAGCTATTCCATTCCATTAACCTTTCCAAAAAAATAGAAGTATCGAGCCAGGTACAGTGGCACATGCCTGTAAGCTTAGCATTCTGGGAGGCTGAGGCAGGAGAATCTCAAGTTCAAGGCCAGCCTAGCCAACTTAGTGACTTAGATCCTATCTCAAAACAAAAAATAAGGGCTGGAGATGTAGTTCAGTGTGAAGGCCCTGGGTTGCAAAAGAAAAAGGTATCAAGTCCTCATCTCTACTGAATGATGAAGAAGCAGGGGTCATTAGGCTTTTTATGTGAAGAGCCAGTTTGCAGATATTTTAGGCTCTTGGGCAGCTGTTGACTTCTGCCCTTGTAGGACAAAAGCATTCTTAGCCAGTCCGTAAAGAGAAGGACATGGGTATGTTCCCGTAAGACATTCTTTGCAGAAATAGTAAGGCTGGATTTGGCCCTCAGGTTCGTTGTATGATTTAGTAAAATGTTTGGAACATCCTTACCATATTCCCGACACACAGTAAGCATATATCCTAATGAGTGGTGGTTCCAGCTTTTCCATAGTTTACAGTGGAATCCGCTTAGCTAGAGGGAGGTGAGGAGAGCACCCCTGTGCTCGGGGTCATGGCTGACAGCCCGCTCCTGGCCATGCCCTTTGGCTGCACTCTTTGCTGGCTCCTAACCACCACATTGTGGTTTTCAGACACATTGTTTTCACTTAGTTCATCAGACCTGGCATTTTGTTTTTGTTTTTTTCCTTTTACCAGAGCCTCAGAACAGACTCTAGTGTGTATCTGTTAGTGGTCATTGCTCACATTCTTCATACATTGGACTTCCTGAGCAAAATAGGAAGTTTCTGTTCTCTTCCGTTCACCTCAAGCGAACACTGAGCACTCGCGTACCAGTGCGGAGTTTGTGTTTTTCCCACATTTTCTAGGTGGTGGCGAGCACCTCGGGTTTGAATTCCACAGGGATAAACTTGCTCACTAATACTTGTTACGTCAGATGTTCAGTGAAGTCAGATCTTTTATTATTGTCAGTCTTAAGGAAATGGAAGTGATGGGGGTGGGAGTGGGCAGGTTGGATTGCTGAGCAGAGACAGTTAAAGAGTGTTTGTTTTTCCAGGGAGTATCGTCCTGAATACGAACGTCTGAAGAAATCACTGGTAAGAAAGAAGGCTATGTATTTAAGGGTCAGTAAAAACCTGCATCTGTGCACTTTGGCACAAGCCTGTAGTCCCAAATATTTGGGAAGTTGGGGGTTGCAGGAAGAATTGCTCTAGCCTAGGAGTTTGAAGCCAGGACAGGCAATGTTGTTAGACAACTTGTCTTTTAAAGCAAATGCAAAGCCGGATGTGGTGGTGCACATCTGTAATTCCAGCACTCAGGAGGCTCACTGAGCTTGAGGCCAGCCTGGGGTACATAGTGAGTTGAAGGTCAGCCTGAGCTACATAGACCCTGCCTGAAAAATAAACAAACAACAAACAGCAAACACAAAACAACAGTCACCTTTAGCCTTCTAACATAAATGCTTGTGCTTTGGATATCAGTGTGTCCTTTATTTTTTTTGTATTTTTACTTTTTTTTGGTACCGGGGATCAAACTCGGGTCCTTGCGCTTGCGCAGCAGGTAGCGAAACCACTGAGCTAAATCCCCAGCCCAATGTGTCCTTTATTTAACTTGGTTATTTTTTATTTTGACAGTCTTACTGAGACATAACTAGTAAAATTTCAGTAGCTTTTAAATACCAATTTTGTGTGTGTTCTGAAATGGGTTCTTGCTGTGTTTCCAGTCTGGTCTTGAACTCCTGGACTGAAGTGATTCTCCCACTTCACTTTCCTGGTTGGTACTGCAGGCCCGTGCCACTGTATGTGGCTTCAGTTTAAATTTGGAAATTTGTCTGCATGTTCTCTGTATGCAGAGTGGCCCCTTAATTGTTTTTCTTCCTTGTATTGAATAGGAGAAATGAGATTTTTCCTGTTGTGTATACAAAGGCTCTTGCTATGCCCCACTTCTCTCCTACTTCAAGATCTATTTATAGGTTAGTTATAGAATTTTAAGAATAGAGAGGTGGAGTAGCCAGGATTACAGATGTGTGCCACCATTCCTGGCTCACCTTTACAGGAATTCTGAGGCAGCTACCAGGAGGGAGCATTTCCTCAAACTATCTGTCGGTGTTATCAGAGGCAACTACCATCATGAAAACACATAAAATTAAACAGTAGAGCAGATGCTCAAAGAGAGAAAAGAATCAAGACTTATCTGTATAGAAAACCACCACACCACAGAGATGAATGAGAGAGGAAAGAAAAAAAAAGGAGATACAAAACAACTGGGAAAAAATTAACAGAATGGAGTATATCTTCACATATCAATAATAACTTCACATGTAAATGGATTAGATTCCCTAGTTAAAAGACTGAAACTACAAAATGGATAAGAAAACAACAGCAAAAATAAAAAGTGAAGGCTATAAGAAATTCCACTCACTTATAAAGACAGATGGAGACTGAAAGCAAGGAGATGGAAAAAGATACAGTTCGTAAAAGGAAACCAAATGTAAGCAGGAGTAGCTATAAGTCTATCAAAATAGTCATTAATTCAAAAACTTCACTAAACGATCACTATGCAATGATCAAGGGATCAATTCAACAAGAAAAATAATTGTCAAGGTGTCTGCACCCAACACCAGAGCACTCAGTTATATAAAACAGTTTTGTTCAAGCCTATCTCAATAAATCCTTCCAAGCATAGCTTATTTAAAAAAAAAAAAAGGTGGCTCACAAGTCTTGTCCCAGATGATCAGTGTCCTTGTCCTTAGAGTCCTCTGTCACTGAGCCTTCTTGCTAGGTGTCCACGAGGATTCTTGGGATGTGTTTTTCTAATTCAGCCAGCAGAGCCCCCTAGTGTGACCTTCTGCTGTCACCTGGGTCCACACTGCTTAGTATTTCTGGCCCCCATCAGCTGCCCCTCATGAACTTCCACTACTTGTATGATTCTTCATCTCTGCTTAGGAGCTTGGAATCTAGTCTGGGCTCCTTTTTTATTTCATTTTTCAGTGCTAAGGATTTAACCCAGGGCCTTGCAAATGCTAGGTACATACTCGACCACTTATCTACCCCCTGGTAGGGCTCCTTTGTTAATATGATGACCTTTTCCCTACCTACAGGCCAGTGCACAGAGTGAACAGAAGAGGGAACAGCTGGAGCGCCTTCGGAGAGAGATGGGTTCTGTGTCCTTGGATGCAGGGACTGCCAAAGGTATTGGGCAGCTTCTGGTGTTAGAACTAAAAAAAGGAGTATGCTTTTTTTTTTCTTTTGAGAGGGTATCCTGAAACATTTTTTTTCTTATTAGTGCCTATTCATTTTATAAAATACTGGGTTTCAATGTGTTTTTTCATTCATGAATATAACATTTTTATCACATCCACCCCCCATTATCTTCTCTTTTTTTTTGGTACCGGGGATCGAACTCAAGACTTTACGCTTACGAGGCAGGCAGCAGAACCACTGAGCTACATCCCCGGCTCCCATTATCTTACACTCCTTTCCCCTTCCCCTTAACTCCTTCCTCTTATAGTCACCCTTTTACTTTCATGCCATTTTTTTTCTAGATTCCACATATTAGGGAGAACATGGTTGTCTTACTGAATCTGGCTTATTTTGCTTAACGTGATCTATGGTTCCATTTATTTTTCTGCAGATGACATGATTTTGTTCTTTATGGCCAAATAGCACTCCATTGTGCATGCACACATTTTCTTTATCTAGTTGTTCATTGGTAGGCGTCTGGGCTGGTTCCACATCTTGGCTATTGTGAATTGTGCCACAATAAATGTGGGTGTGCAGGTACAGCAAATCCCTGACTTCCGAACATTTGAGTTGCTAACTTTCGCAGATATGAATGGACCTTGCATTTAGTTTTTTTATGCTTTACATTGTATATTTGTGATAAAGGTGTATAAGGCTCATTTTGTGAGACTTAGGAACAAATCCAACCTATGAACGTTCTCCTGGAACAGGAGTCATTAGTATTTACTGTATCCCTGTAGTATGCAGACCTTAATTTCTTCTGGTATACCAAGAAGTAGTTTGGCTGGTACTATGGTAATTGTAGTTTTAGTTTTTTGAGGAACTTCCTACTGGTTTGATTCCCACTGGCAGTGTAGAAGGGTTCCTCTTCACTCTCATCCTTTTGGTTTTTGTATTCATTTACTTACTTTCTTGAGAAAGGGGCTTACCATATAGTCCAGACTAGCTTGAATTTACTGTGTATCCCAGGCTGGGCTTGAACTTGCCGTCTTCCTGCCTCAGCCTTCCAGAGTGCTGGGATTGTAGATATGCCCCACCACACCTGGCTTAATGTTGACTTTGTATCCGCTCCTTCCATCAGTTTATCAGCTCTAGAGGTCTTTCAGTGGAGTCTTTAGGGTCTTCCAAATGTAGGACCATATCCTCTGCAAATGACGATAATTTGACTTCTTTCCTATTTGTATTCCATTTATTTCTTTCTCTTGCCTGATTGCTCAGGTTAAAATTTCAAGTACTTTATTGAATTGGAGTGGTGAGAGTAGAAATCTTTAACCTGTTGCTAATTTTATTTTATTTTATTTTTGGTTTTTTGAGACATGGTCTCACTGTGTTGTTCAGGCTGGACTTGAACTCACAGCAGTCTTCCTGTTTTAGCCTCCTGTGTGCTGGCACTGCAGGCTACACCATCACGGCAGGCACTATTGCTAATTTTAAGAGGAAATGCTATTAAATTTTTTCCATCCAGTATGATGTTGAAGAGGTTACACTTATTTCCACTCACCAGAAATCCATCTATATCTGAGACAGGAGAAAAGGATAAAGGAAATATGAAAACATATACATGTATATACTTATATACTTATATGTGTATGGCTTAGAAGGGAAGCACCTCAAATTTGTATGTGAATTTTCACCATGTTGAGTTTTTCCTCCAGGGAATTTAAAATATTTTCTTGGCTAGATACCTGACGCCTGTACTGGTTTTGTAATTGTGCTATTGTTTTTGTGTAACAATTTCTCAGTTCCCCCATTTTTTTTCCGTTTATCTTGGCCTAGTTTTTTGTTTTTTTTTTTAGATAGAGTCTTGCTTTGTAGTTCAGGCTGGCCTTGAACTCAGCAGTCCGCCTATCTCAGCCTTCCAAGTGCTGGGATTACAGGTGTGCACCACCACACCTGGTGCTTGGCCTATTTTTAGATTTACAGAAAAGTTCCATGAAAAATACAAAGAATTGCCAGAAGTCTTCAGTCAGATTCTCCAAATGTTAACATTATTGCATGTTTACTTTTCATTCTTCTCTGTGTGTGTGTGCATGCATTCACAAATCCAACTTTGTTATACAAGTGCATGTTACTTACTCCTGAACTATTAGCTTTTCTAAGTTCAGTACATCTGTGTCTCTTCCTGAAAACAAGTGTAGTTTTCAAAAATGAAGCAGTTCACATTGGCACAGTGCTGTTGTCTATCGTGTAGACCATTTGCCCTTTAGAGCACTGGATTCATTCTCATGGCCCTGAACCTGGAACAGTTTCTTGGTCTTATTGTATTTTGTTGCAGTGATGTTGTGGTGACATTGTGTGTTGCTGTGCCCCAAGAGCTCCATCCCCAGCACTGACATTGACCTTTTGAAGCATGCGAGCTGTCATTTTATTTATTTTTTATTTATTTTTTATTTATTTTTTGGTACCGGGGATCGAACTCGAGACCTTGTGCTTTCGAGGCAGGCACCGGAACCACTGAGCTAAATCCCTGGTCCTGTGCTTTCTTTTTTTTTTGAGATAGGTCTTGCTGTGTATTTGGGGCTGGCCTTGAACTGAAGATGATCCTCCTGCCTCAGCTTTCCAAGTGCTGGGATTATAGGTGTGGACTGCCACGCCCAGTGTCTCCTCATGATTTGATTTGAGGGACAGGTTTTTTAGCAGAACTTCATAGTAGTGAAGTTGTGTGTCTTTTTTTATTGCATCACATCAGGAGGCAGTAATGTTGATTTGCTGCATTACTGGTAAGGTTAATTTGGGTTACTTTCATAAAGTGATGTCTTGGGCCGGGGATTTAGCTCAGTGGTGCCACCTACTGCCTCACAAACCCAAGGTCCCGAGTTCGATCCCCGGTACCAAAAATAAAGTGCTGTCTACCATATTTTCTCATCATTTAAGTTACTATTTTTCCAGGGTATTGTGGCTTTCCCTATGATGGCCTGGGGTGTACTTTCATCTCGCTTTTTATTCTTTTACTTAGCTTGAGCTCACTCTGCAGAGACAGTTTCTCCCTCATTCTGGTGCCCCACCGGGGCTGCCCCCCCCCCCCCCATATTGGGGATCAAACCCGGGACCTTGCACTTGCGAGGCAGGCGGGGGAACCACTGAGCTAAATCCCTGGCCCTCTCCCTCATTCTTTACTTTTATGTTTTCAAATAAATTTTGTCACTGCTAAAAAAAAAAGTTACTATTTTTCCCTTATAGTAAGAATTTTGTAGGATAATTCTCTGAGACTATAAATATCCTTTTAATTATCAACTATTCAGCCATTTGTTCTAATATCACTTGATATAGTAGGAATGTCTTCGTGGCACATTTTTTTCTTTTTTCAGGTGTCCCTTAACCTTGTTCATAGTTTTATTTTGCTGTATGAAAGTGCTTATTTTGTTGTGTCAAATTTATTTCTTTTCTTGTATTGCTTCTAAATTTTACATCCTAATTAAGAAGTCTTTACTTTTAGCTGTGTTAAAGAGGACTTTACTTATGTTTTATTGTAGTCCCTGTGTGGTTTCACTTTGGAACTTTAGATTGCTGATGTAGTTAGCTTATTCCTGGTGTGGTATGAGGTACAGGTCTGTCTGTGCTGTCACCTTTATCACTGGTAGTTGTATCTGTACTGTTGATTAGAGAATCTCCCTGTGCCTCAGTGACTTTGGATGCTGCCTGTATAATGTGCTGAAGTGCTGTGTGCAGCTGGGTATATTTCTGGACTTTCCATTTTATTGTACTGGTTTATTTACTTACATGCCTATCACATGTTTTAAGTATGTGGTGGTTTTATAAAATGTTTCAATATCTGCTGGGGCAGGTCCCTCTTATACTTTTTTTTCCCCCTTGTGTTCCTGGATATTCTCAAATGTTTATTTTTCCCCATACGTTTTAGTATCAACTTATTTGGCCCCTTCAAAAAGCTTTTTTGTATTTATGTTGGGATTAGAGTCCATTTGTTAATGAATTTAGGAAGAAGTGGCATTTATGAACTGTAATGTTCCTACCCAGCTGCACAGAATATATTTGGCAGGTATACTTGTCACTTTTAGGAGAGTTTAAAGTTTTCTTTATGTACATTTTTCATTTTTCTTGATAAATTTATTCAAAGGATTTTATCTTTTTTGTTGTTGAAAATGGGATTTTTCTGAACCATTCAGTCTTCTGATTGGTGTGTTTGCATATATGAAGGCTTTTGATTTATATTAGTATTTTCATCCTGCTTACTTTACTGAGTTTTTTATTGAGTCAGTTTTATCATTGACTGTGCAGTTGGTGCATATATTTAACATGCACACCCCTGGCCCCTACCTGTGCAGACTTCTGATATCCTCTCGGTGAGTGGTACAAGTCTGTTGCAGCTCAGGGGGATTCTGCAGCCAAATTGGATGGACTTTTCGAAAATAGTATGCTCAGTTTTCTTCATTTATTAATTGTAGTAAATGGGATGTACTTTTATTTTTTTCCTCTGCATCAGCGACACTAACATTTTCTGGGACAGCTTTGTTAAAGGAGTGAAATTTCTATTCATGAAACATTGGTTTATCTCCAGCTGAGAACCACAAAGCTGGAAACTGACTGGGTTCAGAGTTTGTGAACTCATCTGTGCCATCTTCGGGGCACACATCAGCAGTGTGAATTTCTGTGTGCCAGTCCTTCAGAGACTCTCATGAGGACAGGAAATGACAAACATGTCTGCTCTTACAAAGGGTCTGCTGTATTCAGAGAAGCTGTTGAAGATTAGGGGCTTTTCCATGGGTCATTGGAGGAAAATCACAAGGATAGCCGGGTAATTCCTAGTTGGGCAAAGAATGCAGCATTTACTTGTCAGCATATCCTGCCATTATCCCTGTGAGGCACAGGTCCCTTGAGTTTTGTGCTCATGTTGCTCCCTTTGGCCCTCTTTATAACCCTAGTTGTGCTCTTGAAAGCTCCCTAGGTTCCTGAAGAGAGAGTGGTTGTGTTCTCCAGGGGTTTTAGGTTCTCATAGCAACTATCTCCCAGAGGCTGAATCCCCTGCCAGCTGTTACTTGACTAGACTTTACTCTGATTAGTTTCCCTAGGGCAGTGGTGGCCAGCCTATGGCACATGTGCCACAGCTGGCTGTTTGTTATCATTGAAGGCTCTGAAAGGTTCACCTTCTTTATCTTAGGGAATTTTACCTCTATTATTATATTTTATTTCCCATTTTCTGCCTTACTCCCTTTCTTGAAAAACCCTTTGGCTCTTCTTTCTTTCTTGTTTTGCCCTGCACTTTCTTCAGGCCCTCTCTGAACTTGGCCTCTACCAGGGAGCCTCTGCAGTGCTGTCCTTTTGCCTCAAGCCACCAGCACACGGGGTCTGCTCCCATGACTTAGGCTTCCAGGGAAAAACCCTACTGGTAGTGTCTTCAGGGTGTGCACTAGTGACAAGAATGCTGCAGCCCTGGACAGTGTCTTGTGTTTTCTTCAGAGGGAAGTACGGGACTCCTTGCACTATTGGGCTTACGATAGCACTTTGAACTAAAACACTGTAGACTTAAGTGACATTAACCATACATTTAAAAGCAGCAAGGACCTGCATTTATATTCATCATGAACATTTGTGATTACAACTACTGATTTGGAATCTCCTTTTTGAGGAGATACATGTACTGATCAGTGTTTTTCATCTAGACAGCGTATCTCCTGTGCTGGACCCTTCTGACTTGATCCTGACTCGAGGAAACTTGGATGAAGAGGATGAGGACGCCAACAGTGATACTGATGACATTGATCACAGAGGTGAGGAGGCTGAGGTGCCGATGGAAACAGAACAGCTATTGCTTGCTCAGGAAAGATCTTAAACTTGTGGCTAGTGATAGGAGGAAGAAGAGAAAATGAAGGATGTAGCACCAGCAAAATTGCCTTTATTGCCTGTGTTGAGAGTTCTGGCCTTCCTATTAAATGGTTAATACTCCCTTGGCTGTAGGCCTTTTGTGTCTTCTGATCTTTACATTCTAAGTTTAAAGAATCCAGAATTTTTGTTATTAATGTTTTGGTTTTTCATTTAAAAAATTTGTTTTTCTTTTAGAGACAGGGTCTCACTATGTAGTTTAGGCAGTCTTGAACTTTATGTACCCTATGCTAATCTGGAATTTGTGCCAGGGCTCCTGTCTCAGCCTCCCAAGTGCTGAAATTACAGACGTGCGCCACTATGCCCAGCAAAGAAATTTTTTAAAAATTTCTTTCGGGCCAGGGATTTAGCTCAGTGGTTCTGCCTCCTGCCTCACAAGCGCAAGGTCCTGAGTTTGATCCCCATTACCAAAAAAAATTGTTTTTCCTTTTGTGCTGGGGATGGAACCCAGGGCCTCATGCATGCTAATGATACACTCTGCCACTGAGTTACATCTCCAGCCCCAAGTGTTTTGTTTTAAGAATGCATAAGACCTGGGTGTAGTGGTTTATGCCCATAATCCCAGCACTCTGGGAGGCCGAGGCAGGTGATCACACGCAGGTGATCACACGTTTGGCTGAGCCTGGGCAAATCAGGGACTTAGCAAGGCCCTGTCTCAAAATAAAAAATAAAAAATGGGCTGGGATGTAATTCAGCATGAAAACCCTAGGTTCAGTCCCAAGTACTGGGGAAAAAAGAATGCAGAAGGAGGTCTTAGCAGAGAACTAAAGCACATTGAGGACTTTTGTGCTGTTTTTTTTTTTTTTACACTTGCTTTCATTATTCAAGCTGCTGCCTATAAGTTAAAGGTCAGAAGCTGAAGCAGATGCCCTTATCCAGGTCTACACAACCCTCCCTGTGCGGGCCAGTGTAGTCGCGGCCTTGGAAGGAGCGTGAGGAGGGAGTATGTTCATTAGCCAACTCCTGTCCATGGTCCTTGGACCGGGCACTGTCCTGGGCCGAGGACACCTGAGTGGGAGTTAGTGGCCTCTTCACAGGGCTCCAGACCTGAGGGGGAGCCCCACGTGTAACATGAGCAAAGTGGTAGAGGAGCTGGGAGAGCAGTGATCTTTGCTCAAAAGAAGGGAACAGAACTTGGTGACACAGAGGAAAGCTTTACTAACGAGAAGGTGCTTAAGTGGGTCTGAGTTTCTTCTGCCCTGTGTGTTTTTGTCAAAGGAGTTTTTAAAATCGTGTTTTTTTTCCTCCTTGCAGTTACAGAGGAAAGCCATGAAGAGCCAGCATTTCAGAATTTTATGCAAGAATCAATGGCACAGTACTGGAAGAGAAACAACAAATAAACTTTTACGGAATTTCACTTGTTTCCAGAAGTCCCGTATTGTGGACCTCCATGTGAATAAACTGTCCTTAACTCTGACTGGGGGATATGATGAGCATTTCTATTGTGGGGGATTTAGGGAGTTGTACCATGGTAGAGCATTTGCGTAGCATGCATGAGGCCCTGGGTTTGACCCCTAGCACTGTAAAAAATATTTTCTTCTTCAGAATAGTAGTTTCTCTTAGGGAAACCTCGTGACTCAGATGAAGTCAGGGAAAGAAGATTCCTGGAGCAAGCAAGTAGATGCCATTTCTGCCTTGGCCTTTCCCTTGTATTTGTGCAAGGAAGGATATATTGACTGCTCTCGGAAACTGATACTCTTCAGCTCCAAACTTCAGGTTTTATCATTTAAACTCAAGTACTCCTGCTGCTTATGGAATATGGACAACTTACTGGTCTGATGACTACTTCAGATCCTGACTATAAGGCTGGATCCACAGCATCTACTCTCAGCACTGTGCCCTTGACCTGAGCTGCTCTCTTAGCACAAAGGGAGAGGGGAAACAGAAGTTTGTCCAGAGGGGCAGGAGAGTCTCCTTGGCATCCAGTCTGCGTTGGTATGAAATGTGCATCACCCTGGGTAGCTCATCATTGAACACCAGGTTTGCTGAAGAAAGGGCAAAGTGATTTCTGAATAAGAATCCTGTTTAAATGGTGATCCGGATAAAGAGGTTTTAATTGTAACTTTGTTATAAGGCTGGCTATAATGATTTCAAATGAAAAAGTTACATAATCACAAATAGAGTCACTGTCTTCAACAGAGGCCTAAAGTTACGTCCAAACCTGTTTTACTAAGGTGGTGATGTGGACCAGTTTCCCAGGTACAGACACCTGGTAACCAGGCAGAGCCAAGCCTGGTTTGTATTTGATACTTTGCACTAACTTCAGAGTATCATTGGTGTTTTATTCAAATGCCCCGGGTTTTCATTAGCTGCCCATTCTGTACATCACAGCCATCGTAAGGGTTTGCCCTGGCTGTCTGTGCTTCAGCTCAGCGGTTGTCAGAGCTTGCTGTTGGAACCAGAAGCACTAGTACTAGTGGGGAAATTGTTAAATACACCTCGCAAAACCTACTGAATCAGAAACTGCAGTTGGGGTCTGGCAGCCTGTTTTAACAAGCCCGCTAGGTGACTAGCACACACTGGTTTGAGAAACAGTGCTTCAACTCAGAACCCTATGACATCTTTCCAGCCGGGTAAATTGGGTACCAACCCTCAAATAACTAAATGACTTCCTTTAGCAGCATACCCTGATCTTGACCATCTGTGGCTGTTCCTCAGTGTATTATTATTTACATTTTTTGAGATGGGGTCTTGTTATATATTCAGGCTGGCCTGGAATTCATGGCAATCCTGCCTCAGCCTCCCAAGTGCTGGGATTAGATACGTGCCGTGTGCCTGGTGTATTCCCCAATTTAAACTTTCCAAAGTAATAAATGTATTTTACTATGAAGTAGTAATTTCAGTATTTTGTACCTAGTAGGAATTACTTGTGTAGGTATTTGACCTACTCTTTAAGGGGCAACCATTTACAAAGCAGAGCTCTGAACATAACTTTCTTCTGTAGCGCTTTTGATCCCACCTCTCCCTTTAAAAATACTTGGTCGGGGCCCGGGGATTTAGGTCAGTGGTTTCGCCGCCTGCTGCACAAGCGCAAGGACCTGAATTTGATCCCTGGTACCAAAAATAAATAAATAAATAAATAAAAATACTTGGTCTCCCCTATGCTATCAGCTCTATAAGGGCAAGGACTAAATCTTAATCATCTTTGTATTCCTTGCACAGGACATAGTGAATATAATAGGTGCTTAATAAAAGTTTGCTATGATTTTTGTTTTTGGTACCAGGGATCGAACTTGGGACCTTGTGCTTTCGAGGCAGGCTGCGGAACCACTGAGCTAAATCCTCAGCCTTAAGAGTTTGCTATCAATAAAGTGCCCAGCTGGCTACTTCACACATACTGCCTGATGGCCATTTTCATTAATGAACAAGGGGAAGTGAAGCTAAGACTGGAACAGGAAGGGTCCAGATTAAGTGTGCTAAGGATTTATAAATAATTTCTTAACATTTAAACTATAACCTCATTTTGCTACAGTCACATTATTCTCAATGCCTGGGACATTTAAGGCACTCAAAAAAAAAAGCTGGGCCTTATTTTTGGTCTATTAAAATAGTGCTCTGCATTTCCCAGGACTTGTATTTGGCATTAAAAAATGAAACTTCAGCAGTTTCACTGAACATGATGGCATCCATTAGCAAGTTACGAAGCACTCATTTGCTAAGCACTCCTAATCCCAGCGGTACCTAATTTCCTTGATAAGAGACGATCCGGAATCACTGGCCCCACACTGCTGGAAGAGGAACAGTGAAGCTGTTCCTTTGGGTGTGAAGTTGACAGGTGCGTATTTCTGTCCACTTGGTGGCAGAAGCACAGTGTGTAGGTGAGGGACCGCAGAGAGGAATGGACCATTGTCCCCTGATGACCTCTTAGAAGACAACAGGGAATAAGCAAAGCCATTGGGCTGGTCCTATTTGCTTCATTCACAAAAGAGAAAATGAGCAATTGGAAAAAATGTACATGGTGAACAATATCTTAAAAGTCTGGGTCAGGAGAAATAAGGTAAAAAGGTTAAGGATAGATGGACTAAGTCTAGAGAAGGATGAAAAAAACGTGGGTGAGATGAGCTGTTTGAATACACAATGAAGCCTGTTTGTTACCACAGACCTGACTATAAGAGACTTCACAGGCGGCAAAAACATTTTAAAAAGATGACTGATGGGGAGCTTTGTTAGCTATTTCTTGTTAGGTATTAGTACTGTATTCCCAAGACGTGGACCGAGTGAATGAAGTTAGATGAAAAGCTGACATCACATGCATTTGTATGCTTCTATTCAAACACCCATTTTGATCACACACAGTTCTCACACCTGCATGGTGTGTCAGAGTGGCGTGACTCTTCTCAACTGTGCAAGACAAACAGCTGCAGAGAAGCTAAGTAGTGTGTGGTCACAGTAAAGACAAGTCGGGCAGCGCTTGGTCTCCTGATCCATCTGTGAACGGTGGCTTGGCTGCTGCGGGAAACTGTAACAACTAGGTGCCAAAGTAAAATGCAGACTTACTTGGTTAAATCCAGTCTCTGAAGTTAGTACTGCCTACTTTTTAAGAGTAAGAATCAAATCCTGGGCTGGGGATTTAGCTCAGTGGTTCCGGTGCCTGCCGCACAAGTGCATGGTCACGAGTTTGACCCCAGTACCAAAAAAACCAAAACAAAACAAGAATCAAATCCCTGTTGGGATTTGATACACCAAGGTTTAATACACCATGGTTTTCTGTTGGCTGTTGTAGGTGTGGCCTGAAAATGGCCTCTCTGCCTTTTATATTTTCCTCATCCTCTTCTTGCAGCGCTGGTTGAAAACAGGGGAGGACCCCATAAGGCTGTCTGTGGAGTGGGAACCGTAGCTGCTGTCTGAGTCATCGGGGCTCTGAGGGATCCCAGTTTCGCTCATGCCTGACATGGGCTCCTCAAAGACATCGCTGCCCAGCACACCGTGCCCAGAGACGTTGCCCTCCTCGCTCTCTTGAGGCTCCATTTTCACATGGGCCAGGTTCCAGAGAGGAGAAGCATTGACCTCTGCACCTGGAAATGAAGGAAGAGCATTTACTGATGGGAGCCAAGTGCTGAACAAGGTAGAATGAGTACCCCACCAGGACCTACCAATGTCCTTTGAGCTCAGTTTTTCCCGATTTCTGTACTTGGCTAGAGAATATGGTTATTATTCTTTGCTTCAAAAAGCTTCAACAAATTGCCAACTCTGAATATCTTTTTTTTTTCTTTTTTTTGGTACTGGGGATTGAACCCAGGACCTTGCGCTTGCCCCTGCCCCCTTAATATCCTATTTCTCAGGACGAAAAGGGGCAAAGGGGAAGGAAGTGGGAGGGATAGGGGAAAGGATAAAAGGGAATGGGATTAATATGAGAAAATGGAAAAATAGGAACAAAAATCTTTGTAAATAGGGAGGAATGGAGGGGTTGAAGGGAGGGCTGGGCAAGGGTGAAAAATAAGAACCAAGAGAGACTATGTAAAGGTGCAAATTCCCAATGATGAATGTCATTATATTGTATACCTAAAATGTACCAATGATTAGAATGAATAATTGATAATGTAAAATAGGAAGAAAAGGTCCAAAGGGGTAGGGGTAGTGGGAGGGGCAGGGGAAAGGAAAGAAGGAAAAGGAAAAATGATGAGAAATGGAAACAATGGAAATAAGGTCTTTGTAAATAGGGAAGGGTGGAGGGCATGAAGGGAGGGCTAGGAATGGGGAAAAAATAAGAACCAAGATGCATTATGTAAAGGTACAAATCCCAGTGAGAAATGTAATTGTGTTGTATACCTACAATGAACCAATAAAAGAATTTAATACAAAAATAAAAAATATCCTATTTCTTCCACACTGCTTTCCTTCTCCTTACTGCCTCCATTTCCCCCAAACCAGACAAGTAGAACTATGCAGGAGGAAGTTATGTGGCTAAAGGCACGTTACTGGGTGTGGTGGCACATGCCTATAATACCAGCACTCCAGGAAGCTGAGCCAGAAGGATTGTGCCCAGCCTAGGCAACTTAGCAAGACCCTCTCTCAAAATTTTAATACAGGGCTGGGAATGTAGTTCAGTGCGAAGGCCCCGGGTTTAATCTTTAATATGAAAAAAAAGTAGGCACAACTATGGGTCTTGTTCATTTGTATGGTTTGCCTGTCCTTCCTTGTTCTATAGGCTGTCTTGTTTTCCTACATTTTGTTTGGATCTCTTTCTGGTCCTTTCTCACATTATGAAAACTTTATGGTCTCTACATAATGCTAACAGCAGTTATGGTCCCTATGTCTGTCCCTAGCCCCCACCCCATTGATGGCGAACCTTTTAGAGCTTTCAGTGATACAAACATGCCATAGGTTCGCCATCACTGGCCTACTCCCTGTAGTCTAGCAATGCCACAGTGAAAGGCTCTCTTCCCAACAATTAAGATAGGCTACATTTGAGGATTTGCTATTTGAGTTATTTCTGCATGGATGAAGTGACAATTTATAAACAACCAAATGCCAGATTAACACATTCTTGCTGGCTTGAACCAGTGGTAAATTTATGACTGTCCCATCGGGCAGCTTGTACTACTGGTGGTACAAATGGATCTAATCACTTTTATCAGTCTTTTCACTAGTAAAATGAATAAAAAGCCCCTCATGGGACAGTTGTTGAAGTATCACTGGTGGTTCAAGCTCCCTGGGATCAAGACATACAAATTATGGCCCATTGTGAACGTCTTAATTTAACCCCTGGTCCCTAAGATCACAGCATCTACCTAGAAGAGCCCAGCTGCCTCCAACTGGGGAGCCTTATTTCAGTTCTTTTAGTTTTCAAATTGTTGGAGTGCTCTAGCAAGGATGCACAACTATTTAAACATCCTCGAGCAGCTGTCACTCCTGCATCTGTCTGGCAGTCATCTTGTTCAATTCAGTACCAGAACCAGAAAGGACTAACAGAACCCTAAAGGCAGAAGAGTTATCTGCCCAACCAGGTGAATCAGCTGAACCCATCCTGGTAATCAGCAGACAACACAAAATGCATCCACACCCTATGTGGAGATTACTTTGAAGAAAGCCTGTAAAGCTGTGCTGGTCCTTTCTTTACCAATTAGAATAATTCTGGGATCTCTAGATCACTAAGGATGGATTACTTTCCACTCTGCCTACTCCTGGTTTTGTTCTCCCACCTCTAGAGCTTGATTCCTAAATGCTACTGAGTGTTAAAATTAGCAGATCTCCTGGAATTGAAATGCAGTACACTGCTATCTCTTACTCGAAGCCTGTGGTGAGGCTTCCACCTCCAGGTTAGAAGGGAAGCGCTCGCTCTGAGCCCCGAGGACTCCCATGGGCAGGGACTGGTCTCCAGAAGCAAGGTCAGTCTCTAGGTCTTCGCTGACAGGAAAGGTGATGTCGCTCACTGGTTCCTCCTTGATCTTCACAGGTTTTGTGTCCTCCATGGCTTTCTCAGGGTTGACAATCCTTTCATATTCTTCAGAGAGTTGCTTACTGATCTGTTGGCAAGCAAGAGTGATAGGTTAGAAGCAAACTGGACGGTTAGCGTGTGACATCCTAAGGAAAAGCCAACAAAATATGGGTAACAGAAGAGTTCTTAAAATTTCACTGCTGGGGCTGGGTGTGTAGCTCAGGGTTAGCATGCCTGCTCAGTAAGGGCTAGGCAATGGGTTTAGACCCCAGCATGGCAAAACAACAACAACTTCCATTGCCAAGGGGAGGAATTTAAGGTGTTGAGTTTGCTTTTTTTTTTTTTTGGTACCGGGGATTGAACTCGGGAAAGTTGGATTTATTTCTATTTTTTAATTTTTTTTTTTTGAGTTTGCATTTATAAGTGGAAGAGACTTGTAAAGAAAATGTGCCAGGGCCAGGGATTTAGCTCAGTGGTTCCAGCGCTTGCCTCACAAGCGCAAGTTCCCGAGTTTGATCCCTGGTATCAAAAAAAACAAAACAAAACAAAGAAAATGCACGAGAGAATGTGTGTTTCATCAATTAAAAGTTAAAAGTAAAAAAATAAAATAGGGTTAGATTGTATTACAGATAAATCAGGGACAAGATTACATGTTTGTCCATAAAAAGTAACATTAGGCACATGTACCCTAGGTGGTAATAAACTAGGTGGGAAATGTGGAGTACTTAGCAAAGTCTTCTTTTGGTTGTTGTTGGATGTTAAAAATTAGCAATCATTTTAGGTTTGAGAAATTGAAACAGTGAACAAATGACTTGCTCACAGCTCCAAGAGTTGAAGAGATATTCGTGGTCTAACCAAAAAATGTCCTCCTCTCTATCCTCCTGGCAGTTATTACCACACCAACTTTGTTTTTCATAGCACTTAACATTATGGTCATTATTTGTTTACCTGTTTTTGTTTTCCCTCAACAAGACTGCAAGTTCAAGGAACCTGTCTTGCTAACTGCTATGTCCCACAAGGCCTCACACACAAGAGGCCCTCAAATAACATCTGCTGAATAAGAAAATGCCAACCAGGGCCAGGGATTTAGCTCAGTAGTTTCGCTGCCTGCTGCGCAAGTGCAAGGACCCGAGTTTGATCCCCAGTACCCCCCCCAAAAAAGAAAAGAAAATGTTAACCACACTCACTCAGACTCCATATATGTGTGTATAATTTCTGTGTCAATGAATGGCCTGTCCCCAATTAAAGCAGGACCCTAGTGGCTGCCAAATCAGGAAAAAGACCGATGGAAAACAGCTAGGGCCATGAGGAAAGAATGTTACATTCACTCCAAATCCTGTGTTCTGAACTTCAGAGCAAGGCTCTCGAGATCCCGCTGAACATCCCTAGGCCGGACAACTTCGCCCGTTTCTGCACAAGTCAGCTCACCTGTAGCATGTAACTGTGATAGTCCTTGATGCGGTGCTGCCAGAACTTCTGGAGGGAGAGTACACTGCCAATACCCACTTCGTGGAATACCTGCTCCATAATGTCGGGGAAAGGTGTCTGTCCCAGCCGGGCTTCCCGATCCACAGCAAAGCGTAGCAGCTTGGTGAACTTGAGGCAATACTCATGTGCCACATCGGTGAGGGTCTCCAGCACACTTTCATTAGCACACTCAAAGCCTGCATGGGCCAGGATGGTGGCTACTGCCTGGTAGAGGAGCTGCCGACAGGAGTGCCAGCTGAGTTCAGTCACAGGTTCCCCTTTCCCACTGAAAGTGCAGACAGAAGAGTGTGATTAGTGCTCTTGCCGAGGGGTGACCTGCCTGGTCTCTAGGAGTTTTACACTTCCAGTCAAACTGCTGGCCCCGCTTTCTGGGAAAATTCCACCCAGGTTACACAGCTGAGTTTCACCGTGCTGCTGAGGCCATGTCTAGGCCACTCACAGTCATGTCTCTGAGCCTCTCCGACTATGCAGTTTGAATAGCAATACGTGTCTGTCTACAATAAACAGTACAAAAGGTTACCTAGGGAAAAGGAAACTTCCTTCTTCTATGAACTGTTCAGTTTTGATCAGCTTTTTTTTTTTTTCCCAGTACGAGGGATAGAACTCAGGACCTTGTACTTCCCAGGCAGGCGTGGCACCACTGAGCTACATCCCTGGCCCAGTTTTGATCAGTTTTTTTTTTTGGTACCGGAGATCGAACTCAGGACCTTGCTCTTGCGAGGCAGGCGCTGGAACCACTGAGCTAAATCCCTGGCCCGACCCTGGCCCTTTTATACACTCCAGTACCTAGTAAAATGCTTGGTGCATAGTAGGCACTCAATATGTATCTACTGCATCTAAAATTTTTTTTTTTTTTTTGGTAACAGGGATGAAACTCAGGACCTTGTGCTTGCAAGGCAGGTGCTGGAACCACTGAGCTAAATCCCTGGCCCTGCATCTAAAATTTTAAAAATATAGACTCTGGACTCTAGATTCTGCAGATCTGGTTTAAGACTTAGATGTCTTGGTAGTTACTTGAGCAACCTTGGCCAAGTCAATTGCTCTTATCCTCAGCTTCCTCGTGTGGAAATGGAAATGCTCTTATAGGTTTAACAGGGTTGTCAGAAGACTGCTTGAGAAAAATAAGATACAGCAAAACTTTGCCTTACCAATAAAAGTCACTCTCTGGGTCACTGTGCCGGATCTGGAATGGTGCATTGGGATTCTTACAATCTAAAGGCAGAAGGTCATCAGGCACAGGAGGGGACCCAGGGCAGGAGGGCAGAGGTTCACTCTCTTCAGTTTTGAGGCCTTCTGTCTGCTGCTGATTCTGGGCCTGAGCTGTGGCTATGAGACTCCGAAGGCGTCGGTTGTGCTGGATTAACTGAATGGTATGGATGGTGAGGCTGCATGGCTCTGAGGGTATGTCCAGCATGGTAGGGGGCTTGGGCTTGTTGGCCGAGGGCTGGTGCAAGGGTGGGTCATGGACTTCCACCAGCCGGAACTCTCGAGGGAGCAGGTCAAAGGAACTTCTGTTGGTCTGGCTTGATGACATGGGTATCTCTCCCCAGTACCTCAACATTTTGGAATAAGGAAGAGCTCTCAGGTTTAATGTAGATGATATCCTAAAAGTAGTATGTTTAAATCTCTGGCAACTGTAGGTTGTAGACTTCTGTAGTGAAAAACAGAAGTCTAGACAGCTATTTACACAAAATGCAAGCTGTTTAAGACCACTTTGAACAATGTCAGTGTAGCCAAACTGGAGGACCAAAGATGTTCTCCCTGGAGAAATGAAGAGAAATATAACTGTTAGCTGCCGATCACTGTCACAAAATGATAGTTCCTACTGGACCAAACCACAAGGTCGGAGCTGAGTCATTAGTCAATAAACAGCTACAATGGTATCTGGGGCTCTACTATCCTCATTTTCTTTTCTTTTCTTCTTATTCTTTTTGGTACCAGGGATCAAACTCAGGACCTTGAGATTATGAGGCACGCACAGCACCACTGAGCTAAATCCTCGATGTTCTCATTTTCTATTTCACTTCACTAACCCATTACTAGAACTACCATCATGCCTAATCCTAAACAATCTGCAAAATTAAGCAGGGCGCTGTGGCTCTTGCCTATAATCCCAGCATTCTAGAAGCTGAGGCAGGAGGATCACCAAGAGTTTGAGGCCTGCCTGGGGTATATAGTGAGACCCTGTCCCAACAAAATAAAACAAAATTTTTAAAGTATGTTACTTAAATACGAGGCCTGAGCTGGGCGTGGTGCTGCATGCCTGTAATCCCAGCACTTAAGAGGCTAAGGCAGGAGCATCGCCATGAGTTCAGCCTAGGCTACCTAGAAAGTTTGAGGTCAGCTTGAACTACATTGCAAAACCCTATCTCAAAAACAAAAAATAAGAGGGCCGGGGATTTAGCTCAGTGGTTTCGCCGCCTGCTGCGCAAGAGCAAAAACCGTAGTTCGATCCCCGGTACCAAAAAAAAAAAAAGAAACCCAGAGTATTTCTCAGAGTTATCCACCCCCCTCCCCATTCTAAGGATTGAACCAAGGGCCTCTGCACTAAGCTATATGCTCAACCTTTTATTTTTAAAAATTTTTTTATTTTTTGGTACCGGGGATCGAACTCTGGTCTTTGTGCTTGTGTAGCAGGCGGCGAAACCACTGAGCTAAATCCCCGGGTCTCAACTTTTTATTTTTTTGAGATAGGATCTCACTAAGTTGCCCAGGCTGGGCTTGAATTTGGGATCTTCCTGCCTCCACCTCCCAGAGTGCTGGGATTACAGGCATGTGCCACCATGCCCAGTGTCTCACAGTATCTTAATGCAACTGTTCTGGATCCCTAGGAGAAAAGGATTAGAGTTAAAAACAAGTAAGAGGTGGTTCTTACTCTATGTACATCGGTCAGTGTAACATTTTAACTGGCTCCAGTGGGAAAATATATGAATGTCTAATGTAGTCTTATGCTTTCAACCTTTAACATATATAAAGAAGAATCTGAGAGGTTTCTGTTGCCTTCTCATTCATATCCCTTCCTTAATCTATTCTTTACACTGCTCCTAGACTTAATCTTTTGAAAACTCAAATATGATGGCTTCCTATTACTTTCTGAAAAAAGTCAGAATTCCTTAGCTTATCATTCACTGAAGTTCACAATCTGGTTTCAACCCACCTTTCCAGCATCACTGCTCATATGTATCTTCAGGGTCAGCAAACATTCACTGAATGCCAGGCATTATGTGAGGAGACAAAGACCAAGAATGCAAGTTCTGTGTCCTAAGGTGAAGGAAAGAAACAGATGAAAAATATTTCAATATAAAAGTGTGTGGAAAGTGCTGTTTTAAAGGTACAGAGTTACTGCAGTGGAAGCACACAGGAGGAGCTTCTTGGTAAAGGAATCCGACCACCGCCATCCTAGGCTGAACAGAGACCACTTTAAAACTCTTCCCCCTGCCGTGCTTGCACACCTGCCAAAGATGGGTCATCATGGGTAGCTAAAGCCCCGTAAACATAGCTGCACCCAGTACCTCCCATCATTCTTCAGCCCTGCTCTTAATGAGAAGCCAGTACTCCTGTTCGTTCTCAACCCTTGTCCCTGGCAGGCTGCCACAACTCCTTTTCATTGAACTCTCCCCCATTTTGATCTTTTCCTTTCACAGCCCCTCTTTATGCTCATGACCCTATAAAAGACCTCACAGCCTGTACGAGAGTTATCCACTCTGGTTGAAGTGCCAGGCAGTCCCACTCAGGTTTGTTCTGAAATCAACCTGCCCTGTTGAGCTCGTACCTTTGTTTCTTCTTCCTTTTTTCCTGACACTTGGACTACATGACCACTTTAGTTCTAATAATAATAGCTTTCTCTTTTTTGGAGACAGGGTCTCTGTATGTAGCCCCGGTTAGCCTCGAATTCCTTATGTAGCCCTCAAACTCACAATCCTCGTGCCTCGGCCTCCTGAGTGCTGGGATTACAGGCATGCACCACCATACCTGGCTACTACTACTCAGTTTCTTGAAAATACCATGAATTCCTGCAGTTGACCTTGTGATCTCTGCCAAAAATGCTTTATAAGGGTTGGAGATTTAGCTCAGTGGTTCCGGTGCCTGCCTCGCAAGCACAAGGTCCCGAGTTCGATCCCCGGTACCAAAAAAAAAAAAGCTTTATGACCCTGTAATCCCTAGAAGACTTATATTTACTTTTAAGAATAGCTTAAGATAGGGGCCAGGGATTTAGCTCAGTGGTTCTGCTGCCTGCCTTGCAAGCACAAGGTCCTGAGTTTGATCCCTGGTACCAAAAAAAAAAAAAAAAAGGATAGCTTAAGGTAGCACCTTGTATCACTTCTGTACGTATCCTTTCCTTATGTTTTCATATCACCTTACATGACTCAGTCACAGCATTTATTCCTGGATTCTAACCAGTACTTATTTCCATAAACTTCATTTCCCCACCTACCTATTATGGCTCTGATCTTGGTACAGTGCCTGGCATTTACTGAGTGCTTATTATATGCCAGTCTTCACCTTTGTGGTTTAGTTCAATTCTCTCAACAACTCTATGAAGTAGATAACATTATTGTCCCTGTTTTTCAGATACAGAGGCTGAGGCCCAGTGTCTTGCCCACTATCACAACTATTAAGCAACCACAGATTCTGCTACCTCAATTCATTTCGGAAAGAATAAATGAATGAACTAAGGAACAAAAAATTGCCTCCTTCCCTAACTTCACCGAAAGGAGTAGGAAGGACAGGTTTCGAACCTGAGGAATGCCCAAGTTCCTACGTGGGGAGTTCCTCCGTCACAGGCGCCGACGCCAATCACAGGCTCCTGGGCACACCTGATGTCCAGGGCAGCCGGAAGATGGGGACCTCCGCACCTAAACTCAGACTAAAAGGCGACCCTGTTTACTACCGTATTCTAGGAGTCGGCTGGGCGGCTGCCTGATTCCGGAGCTCAGGGGGAAGGGTCGCGTCCAGCCCAGAAGGCAGGTTTGATGATTAGTGGTCCTAGGCTGCCGGAAGTGCTTCTTTTCAGTTAGGCTGTGCCACAGGAAGTCATTACAATCCTGTTGCAACTTCCAAAGATGTCCCCCATGCTGCACAGTACCACGGCAGTCTTTTCCTGTTATTTCGACTTTTTTCTGTTACGCACCACTTTACAGCACTCTGAGTCGTGAAAGATTAATTCTTACCATTCCTGCCCAGAGAATGGGGGTTCTCCTGGCCCCTGGGAGTTGGGAAGAGGGAGACGAGGACAGGAACACGGAGAGAAGGGTGAGGTTGCCTAGGGACACATTTCGAGGTTGCACGTGCTCGAGGATGGCTGAGACCCCGTCTCAGTCTGAGCCGCCAGCATCAGTAGAACTCAGTGACGACTTCAAGAAGCCAACTCTGCCAGGGTCCTCTGCAGTGCGGGGTAAGGCTTCGGCCGTCAGTCCTGCAAACCCTGAGGAGCTGACGAAGGAATGTCCCACGGCGCTGCCGGATCTTGATTCTGGGGAGCCCGACGTCCTGCCGCTTGGGCCGGACGGCGGGGAGACGAGTAGTCTCCTGGAGCAGCAGCTGCGTCCCCCCACTGCGGTTTCTTCCCCAGGAGGCCCAGCCCGTGGACCCCAGTACCAAGAGCCTCCGTGGGGCGGCCCAGCCACGGCCCCCTACAGCCTAGAGACACTGAAGGGCGGCACCATCCTTGGCACCCGTAGCTTGAAAGGAGCGAGTTGCTGCCTTTTCGGGAGGCTATCGAGCTGCGACATATGCCTGGAGCATCCTTCCGTGTCGCGGTACCACGCCGTGCTGCAGCACAGGGCGCCAGACCCAGACGGAGAATGCGACGGCCACGGGCAGGGCTTCTACCTGTACGACCTGGGAAGTACGCACGGCACTTTTCTCAACAAAACTCGAATCCCACCCCGCACCTATTGTCGGGTCCACGTCGGACACGTTTTTCGCTTCGGAGGCAGCACTCGGCTCTTTATCCTGCAGGTAAGTAGAGAAAAGTAAACTGAAACCTCAGGACTTCACCGTGCTGGGAAGTTTTAGTTGAGGAAAGAGAGTCACCTTCTTAGCGGTTTAAAAATGAATCAGTGTGGACCCTTGTCTTCAGATACTGTACACGTTGCCGTGTTTCTGAAATTTACTTCCACATTCCCAACTGTAAAAGAAAAAAAAATTTTTTTTGATTCTTTGCTTGGTTCATCAGGGACCAGAGGAAGACCGAGAGACAGAATCCGAGTTAACAGTAACGCAGCTGAAGGAACTGCGAAAACAGCAACAAATATTATTGGAGAAGAAGATGCTGGGAGAAGACTCAGATGAAGAGGACATGGATACCACGGAAAGGAAGGGAAGTGCTAGTGGCCAAGATGATGACATGGGCTGCACCTGGGGAATGGGTAAGAAAATTGTTGTCAGAAGTTAATATTTTAAGTTTATTACTAGTGGTACTCTTACGTTTAAAAAAAAATCATGTTGGGCCAGGGATTTAGCTCAGTGGTTACGCTGCCTGCCTTGCGAGCGCTAGGTCCCGAGTTCGATCCTTGGTACCAAAAAAAACCCCAAACCAAAAAAAATCGTGTCGCTTTTCATAACTGGGACAAAACCAATTTGCATGTATGGTAACCAAATCCAGAGAGTCATTAACTTTTCTGGTGTAAAAAAACCTTAATTGTGAACACTATTGATACTTTAAAATTTGGGGGTTTTTTTTTTGGAACCGGGGATTGAACTTGGGACCTTGTGCTTGCAAGGCCGGTGGTGGAACCACTGAGCTAAACCCCTGGCCCTGAAATTTACTTGCAACATGGTTAATATTGACATGCTGTCAGAACAAAATGTGCACTGGATTTCAAAGATGATATAATAAAGAATGTAAATTCTTGTATTGATTACACAGTGAAATGATAATTTTGCCTGTTTCTTTTTACTTTTTCATGTAGCTGACAGGAAATTTAAGATTATATGGATAGCTTTTTCATTGTATTTCTGTTGGACAGCACTGACTTAGGTCTTTGGGAAACTGTAAGTTTTTAAGCAGAAGGGTTTTAAGCTTGAATTTGACAGAAAGGAAAAGTAGCCCTTATGAAGCTGAGCATCGGGGTCGGTATTCAGGGCTGGGACTGATGATTTTAAGGGAGTAATGGGTTTAGTTTACCAGTCTATTTAGCGAGTATTAGGAAATTATATTGGAGACCAAGTATTAGACCAGGCTAAGGAAATGAGGTTTATTTTCCAAAGTGTGATAGGTAAATTTCACCAGAAGGTGATGAAGAAAAGACATTAAAGTGCCACAGAAACAAGTTTTGATTTCTCATATAATTTAGAAAACCTGAAGATGCTCATAGTGGTAGTTTTGTAGTAATTTCTTCTGCCTCATGTATCTTTTTATCATATGTAAGTATATCTTGATGTAGCCAGAAATAATAGTGGTGTCATTCAGACAGTTTTCTCATGTCTGATTGTCTTTCTCCTCTTTCTCACGTACTGTAGGTGAAGATGCCGTAGAGGATGAGGCTGAAGAGAATCCCATTGTCTTAGAGTTCCAGCAGGAAAGAGAAGCCTTTTATATAAAGGATCCAAAAAAGGCTCTCCAAGGTTTCTTTGACCGAGAAGGTATGTACACATTTCCTGACCCTGACAGTAAAATGTGTCCATAGCAGTGTTGTTTGCTAGAGGTTGAGGTTGAGCTTCATACATAGAAATGCTTTATTTTATCTGCTATCTTCCTTGTTTACTTCTTACCCTTATGCTCAGTTGCTTCAAGTTTATTTTTGTTCTTGTTTTTGTGGTGCTGGGCATTGAACCCAGGGCCTTTTGCAAGTGCCGTACCCCAGAGCTATATCCCTACTGTTAAGTTTATTTTGAAAATAGTCAAAAATCTAGTTGGGTGTGCTGGCACACACCTATAATCCTAGCATTCTGGGAGGCTGTGACCAGAGGATCACAAGTTCTAGCCCAAGTTCAGCAAATTAGCCACTTAGTGGGACTGTCTCAAAATAAAAAATAAAAAAATGTAGGGATGTGGCTCAGTGCAAAAACCATGGCTAGGCTCAATCCTCAGTACTACCGAAAGAAAGAAGAAAATAGTAAAAATCTTTTTAGTCTTGCTTCCCATTTTAGAATGAAGTACTTTTTTCCAGTCTTCTCTTATTCTTTTCAAAAGATCCTGGACTTACTGGGCATGGTGGCACTACCTGTAATCCCAACTACTTGGGAGGCCAGAGCAAGAGAAACACATGCTCAAGGCTGGCCTAGACAACTTAGCAAGACCTTGTTCCAAAATTACAAAAACAGGGAAGAAGAGGTGGTTGCTGAGCACTGGAATGCTTGCCTAGCATGCATAAGGCCCTGGAATTGATCCCCAGTATGAGGAGCGGAGTGTAAAGGGATAGAAAGCAGGGGTGGGGAGTATGGTGGCAGATCTGACCTTGGCAGTAGGGAAGTTGAGTCAACTTTTTGTAACTTCTATTCCTAACTCATAAATATTGACTTTATATGATTAAAAATGTTTCCACAAGGATTGTGTTAGTAGAGACACTTTGAGAGAACACACATGTATCCTTGAGGGTTGGTTCCAGGACAGCCCCCTCTCTGGATGTCAAGCCAAGGATGCTCAAGCCCCCTATGTCAAATAGCATAATGTTTGCATATAACCTCTACATGGCCTCCCATGCACTTTAAACTATCTCTAAATTACATAGAGTGTGAATACTATGTAAATGGTTGTTATATTGTTTAGGGAATAATGACAAAAAGGCTACATGTTCACACCAGGCATGGTGGCACACACATGTAATCCCAGCACTTGGGAGGCAGAGGCAGAAGGATCGTGTGAGTTTGAGGCCAGCCTGACTTACAGAATGAGTTCAAGGCCAGCCTGAGCTACATGATAAGACCTTGACTCAAAAACCAAATGATTGAATGAATATATAGGTAACCTACATGTTCAGAACAGGTCCTTTTTTTCTTGCTAGATGGTTAAGGCTGGCCTTGAATTAACTGTCCTGACTGGCCTTGACCTTGTGGCATTCCTCCTGTCTCTGCCTCCTGAATGCTAGGATTACAGTCATGTGCTGCCATTCCCAGCTTGTACTTAATATTTATGCTTCTAAAAACCACTGTGACAAAATAACCACTTGAATCTATAGTTATAGAAAGTGTGAAAACTACTATAGCATGAACAAAACTGTACATAGGGAATCGATTGGTTTTATTTATTTTTTGACAGTGGTGGGAATTGAACCCAAGACCATGTATATGCTAAGCACATGCTGTACCTCTGAGCTATACATGGAGCACAAGAGTTGTTTGTTTTGATCTGAGTTTACTTTGCTCTGAGTCAAACTCATCCTAGTTTTATTATCAGATGACAGTTCCTAGGAATGAGAAGTGAAATGTATTGAAATTTAGTATTCAGTGTGGAGTAGAAACGTGATGTCCTTGTTTAACTTTTGCTCTTTTTCTACATCATGTCAACTAGTAATTTTCAGATTCTATTAGAATTGTTTTTTCTTTCTTCCTCCCACAGGAGAAGAATTAGAATATGAATTTGATGAACAGGGACATAGCACTTGGCTCTGCAGGGTGAGGTATGTTCTTTTCTTATTAGTGTTCATTTCTGGAAAGTACCTAATTTCAGGTTAATGTATGGTTGTGGACAGCAGTCCAAAGAGTCACATTAGATTAACTGTGGGCCTCTCCCAGACTGGGTCCTTGATCCTTCAGTGACACAGTACTGGGAGGTGGGATGAGATGAGTAAGAGGTGGAAAGAAAAGATTTGAAAGTCTGGTCCTGGTAAGATAGAGCAAAACGAGTTTGAGATGTTGAAAAGCCATCTGAAAAATGCACTGCACATCAATTGTTTCCACGAGAACTGGAGCTTAGTACTGCGCTGTAATTCCCTCTAAACCAACACAGGTTACCGGTGGATGATTCAACCGGGAAACAACTGGTGGCGGAGGCCATTCACTCAGGAAAGAAAAAGGAAGCAATGATCCAGTGCTCCCTGGAAGCTTGTCGGCTTCTTGACACTTTGGGATTGCTACGGCAGGAAGCAGGTCAGTACATGGGAGTTATTTTTTTCTTAAAGGAAAGGAAAAAAAAGAAGGGCTGGGGATTTAGCTCAGTGGTTCCGGTGCCTGCCTCGAAAGCGCAAGGTCCCGAGTTCGATCCCCGGTACCAAAACAAAAAAACAAAACAAAACAAGAAAGGAAAAAAATAGAATAAATTAAAAAAAAAACTTCACACAAAATATAATAAAATCTCTTTACACAGGGAATACTTAAATGTACAGGGATTTTTTTAAAGTGAAATTTCCTGTATCAGTAGCTAATATAGCTCTTTGTATTCTCCCAAACATTTTCTTTTTATAGGTTTGTATGTATGTATGTATGTATGTATTTATTTATGGTACTGGGGATCCAACTCAGGTCCTTGGGCTTGTGAAGCAGGCGGCAGAACCACTGAGCTAAGTCCCCAGCCTCCCAAACATTTTCTATGCGTATGTGAATACATATTTAGAAGAACTAGATCCTGGAGCTGAGGATGTAGCTCAGTGGTATAGTACTTTCCTGGCATGTGCACAGCCCTGGGTTTAATCTCCAGCACTACAAAAAAAAAAAAAAAAGTTTAATACTAGATCCTTTAATAAAAATATACACAAATGCAGTCTTATTACGTACCCTTTTTTTTTTTTTGCATTACTGGGGATTGAACTCATGGCCTTCACACTGAGCTAGATCTTCTGCCTGATTTTTAAAATTTTAAGACAGTGTCTTCCTATTTTGCTCAGTTGCCCACGTGAGGCTCTAACTTGCCATTCTCTTGCCTCAGCTCCCCAGAGTGCTGGAATTACAGGTTGTGACTCATTTTTGTAACATAAGAATGTTCACAGATTATTGTCCATATAAACACATTTGATTTATCTCATTAAATAAAAAGATCAGCTATAGCTTCATTTATTTTAATAGGCCTATATTTTACTTTTAAGTATTCTAAAATTAATTTTTATTGTTGCCAAGTAATTTATCTGGCTTTCAACTACCAGAAAGGTTAAAATAAAGTATACTGCTTCTTGCCCAATCTTTTCTTAGTCATCATTCCTAAAGCCTTTCAACTTTTCAGTTATTTTTTCTGGCATTTAAAAATATCTGTATTTCCAAGAAACAAGAATATGCTGTTATATTTGAAGTTATTTATTTTAAATATTATTTGTAGGCTCTGATAAATTAACATTTAGTATTTATATGATTGTGCTTATATAAATATTAGTCACAGGTGACCAGTTTTATTTTTATTTTCAGTAAAGGTAATGATCGAGTTTTTCATTTGTGTGTTTATGTTTTTTTGTGTGTATCTCTGGCTCATCTTTTCTTATGTTTTTCCACATTGTTTAGTCACATTAATGTAGGAGCTCTGATACTCCGGGGAGACTTCTCCTGGAGAGTTCTACCCTCCTTTTAGGGCTTACTGCTCTCTAGATCTGCAGAACCTTTATTTTGCTTTTGACTTTTCTGTCATCCCTGAGGATTTCCTTGGTTTTTCTCTAGAATTGGCTTTTATGTTTCTCGATTCTGATATTTCTTGGTTTATCCCTTTGTTCTAGTGATCCTTTTCTCATTTGTCTTTTTCTTTTGTAACTCACTGATTTTTAAGAACCTTTTGTTCAGTAATCTAGCTTTTGGTTTTAATCTTTTATTGTTGTAGAATACACATAAAATGTGCCGTTTTAAGTGTATAATTCAGTGGCATAAGTGTATTCACTTTGTTGTGCAACCATCACCACTCTGCATCTGAGAACTTTTTCATTGTTCTGTACTGAAGTTGAGCCCAGTGAGCATTAACTCTTCTCCCTCCTCCCCAGCCTCTGGGAACTACATTCCTACTTTTCCTATCTCTGTGAATTTTGACTGGTTTAGATACTACATATAAGTGGAATCATATAGTAAGTGTCCTTTTGTTTCTGGCTTATTTCACTTAGCATAATGTTTTCAAAGTTTAGCCCTTTGGTTTTTTTGTTTGGTTCAGTTTTTTTCAGTACTGAGAATTGAACCCAGGGCCTTTGCACTGAGCTACCATCCCCAACCCTTTTTCTTTCTTCCTTCCTTTCTCCTTCCTTCTCTCTCTCTCTCCCTCCCTTCCTTTCTTTTCTCTCTTTCTCTCTCTCATTCTCTCTCTCCCTCTTGCTCTCTCATACTTTCCTATTCTTTCTCTCTCCTTTTTAAAGTTTGAGACAGGCTCTTACTAAGTGGCTAAGATGTTGAGGCTGGGCTCAAACTTGTGATCCTCCTGCCTCAGGGTCCCAGATGTGTGCCACCAGTGCCCAGCTTACCCTTTGTTTTTTCTGTGGTTTGGCAGCTCGTGGAATCCCCTCTTTAATCTGCCTGCCTACTTGTACTTGCCTTTTTAAAAAAAATTCATTTCACTTTCAATCATTTTATTCACCTCTAGTATCTCGGAAGAGGAAAGCCAAGAACTGGGAAGATGAAGACTTTTATGATAGTGATGATGACACATTCCTCGATCGGACTGGCCTGATTGAGAAGAAGCGTCTGAACCGAATGAAAAAGGCTGGGAAGATTGATGAGAAGCCGGAGACCTTTGAATCACTGGCAAGTTTTATTTGTAGAAGTATCTGTGGTAGTTTATTTTAAAAAAATAAAATAGTGCATTATTTAAATATTTTATAATTATAATTTTTAAGTAGTAGTACCTAAATCTGGTACCAAAGAATAACTTTTGGGATCTGTAAATTTTTTTTTCTGGTATCGGGGATTGAACTCAGGACCTTGTGCTTGCCAGGCAGGCACTGTGCCATTGAGGTACATCCCCAGCCCCTGTGATCTGTAAATTTAATGGTAACAAACAGCTACTCTTATCTAAGTTGTTGGAAAAAAATTTAGCTTACTGCTAGAGACCTTCCTCCGGGTTGGTATTGACGATTAATGAACATTCTTTAGATATACCATCACTGCCCAAAACAGAGTTAGGGCTTCTGAGATGAATGAAATAGTTAAGAGGAAACCAGGGGATTTTGAAGAAGATAGTGTAGTACTATTGGTCTGGAACAGCATAATCCTTCATGAAATTACCTTAAGGTAGCATCCACTTAACAGTTTAGTAATATTCAGAGTTTAAAACATTCCCCAACATCTATCCTTTTGATTTACCAATGAAAAAAATGCCTAAGTGGTTTCATTTGAGTAAAGTCTGAGTTACTGTGTTAGTTACTTTTCTTTTGTTACTGAGACAAAATACCGACACCCAAAGTTAAAGGGGAAAAGGCTTATTTGGCTTACAGTTTGTGGAGGTTTCAGGCTATAATCATCTGGCTCCAACAGTTCATGGCAGTGGAAGATGGCAGAAGCAACAAGGGAGCAAGGGAGTCTTTCTGCTCCTTTTATCCCATCCAGACTACTGGGATTAGGGCAGTCCTAAACCAGTCACTCTCATGGAGTGGTTTAGTAATTACACACCCTTAATCCGAGCATCACACATTCCAGATTCAGCCACCTTCCAAAAAGACTGCATGAGGCTTTGGAGGAACATCTAGACTCAGACCACAACAGTTACTTATTCCATTTAATTCTTTTTTTCATTCCACTTAATTCTGACTTCTTTAATTCATAAATTAATTCAACTAGGATTAAATAAACAAATGGAAAGTGTTAACTTACGGAGCAGCTTTAGCTGGACTTGTGAAATAATGCTCTTAAAACTTGCAATAACAATTATGAAAATAAGAGAATGATAAACAGTGTTTGAAAGAAGGAAAACATTTGTTAACTGTATAAATTTGGGTGTTACAGGTTGCAAAGTTAAACGATGCAGAAAAGGAACTCTCTGAAATTTCAGAGAGGCTCAAGGCTTCAAGCAAAGGTAAAGATATTATCAAATATTTATGAACACCTGTCATATACAGTGCATTATGCTAGGCACTGGGGCTACATTGGTTAGTAAGATAAACCATATGGCATCTTTCTAATGAGCAACATTTAAGACCTAGAACATTATAATCATTTGGTTTAACCTGTTTTTTATTTAATAGTTGAGGGATATGAAGCCCATTGAGATAAAATCATTTCCCAAGGTCTCACAATTATAACTGGTTTCTATATTCCTAATAATACCAGTGGTCTTTATCCTGCTTTATATTAGTGACTTTTCTGTGAAGATTATGCTGAATTAAAAAACATTTGGGGCCATCTTTCTAAATCTGTGTTACTCCTTTCTTGGACAGGTCTCTCAGAGTCAGCATCTCAGGATTCATTAGATGCGTTCATGTCAGAAATTAAATCAGGGAATGCATTAGATGGTGTATCCCGGAAGAAACTTCACCTGAGAACTTTTGAACTGAGGAAAGAACAACAGAGACTTAAAGGATTAATAAAAATTGTAAAGCCGGCAGAGATTCCTGAACTAAAAAAGTAAGTATATAATTGGGAATTTAAAATCAGCATGGTAGCTTATGTATTTTGTACATAATTTTGTGTGTACTTTGAATTATCCTTTGATCTAATTAGATAATAATTATAAAGTAGAAATATAAGCAAGAAACCCTTTTGTGTGTGTGTGGGTTTGCTAGGGATAGAACACAGGGCCTGTAATCCTTTAAACGCAAAAGGCAGAGGTTTCCTAGAGAGACTAAACCCACTTGCGAAAATCTAGACTGCTAGAACATTTTCAGAGAAAACGGATTTCTTTCTTTCTTTTTTTTTGGTACCAGGAATCGAACTTGGGACCTTGGGCTTTCAAGGCAGGGGCCAGAACCACTGAGCTAAATCCCTGGCCCCTGATTTCTTGATTAATTGGAAGGCTGTGAAGTTTTTTTTTAAATTTAATTTCTTTTTGTTTGTTTTTGTTTTAGAGACAAAGTCTCAATATGAAGTCCAGGTTTGGCATTGAACTCATTATGTAGCCCAGACTGGTCTCAAATTCACAGCAATTCTCCTGCCTCAGCCTGCCAGGTGCTGAGATTATAGACATGCGCCAGCAAGACCAAGCCCAGCTGAAGTTTTTTTTTACTTATTCTTTTTGTGCACAATAAACTTCTTTTTGGTGGTACTGGTGGTTGAACCCAGGGTCTTTGCTCTGAGCCAGCCTTTTTTAAAATTTTGAGACCAGGTCTCACTTAGTCACTAAGTTGACCAGGCTGGTCTCAAACTTGTGACCCTCCTGCCTCAGCCTCCCAGCATGGTGGGATTACAGGTGTGTGCCACCACTCCTGTAAACTTTTTCAAAAAGCAACATGGACAAAGGGCTAATTTCTCATAAAGACTCATCCAAGACATATAGGCAAAGGATATCAACTGACAAGTCACAGAAAAAGAAACACAGTTTTCAACATATAAAAAAATCCTTAACCTCACTCACAATAGGTATGCTCATACTACAATGTAATACAAATTTTTATCTGTGAAATGGACAAAAGTTCATTAAGTATGAATATAACACATTGAAGTGGCTGTGACTAAAAGGCACATTAGGACATTCTCTATCAGGGGCAGATTATAGATACATATGCCCTTGATCTAATTATTTAATTTCTAGGTGTTTGTCTCTCACATACTTAGAAAATGATGAATGTATATTGGAGCATTGTTTATGATAGTAAAAGATGAGAAACTGCCTAAATGTTTATCAGAGAGGGTGGAGTAAATGAATAACAAATATACAGTAGAATACTAGGTAGCTGTAAAAAAAAGAAAAGGATAAAACCATTTATTTAAAATGTAGTAACAGGGGCTGGGGATTTAGCTCAGTGATTCTGCCGCCTGCCTCGCAAACGCAAGGACCCGAGTTCGATCTCTGGTACCAAAAAAACAAACAAAAAAAACCCCCAAACAAAACATAAAATGTAGTAACATTGTCAAAAATATTAAGTAGTAAAAGCTATCGAGTACCAGGACATTGTGTATAATAAGGACTGTTTGCCGAAGGGGAGGAATACATGAGTAAGTAGGACAGTTTTTGTGTGTGCTGCATACAGTCCGTTTAGGTCAGGTTTCCTAAAAGCTGCCTTAGCCTGGGATTTCTCTACCACTGATTCATTGAGAGAGTGCCCTCAAGGCAGGAGGGAGCAGGATAGGGCATGGATAGAAGCTGGGCAAAGATGTGGTTTGTTTTTGTTTTTGGTATCGGGGATCGAACTCAGGACCTTGCACTTGGAAGGCAGGCGCGGCACCACTGAGCTAAATCCCCAGCCCTGGCAAAGATGTAGTTTTAAGAGCTGCAGTGGCACCACAGATGTCACAGAGGCCAGGGGCTGGGACTTTTATGCCCCCACCCAACCCTGCATTGACCGAGGGGAGGGAGAACAGCAATTCTGTTGAGAAAGGTGCAGTTGTGGGCCTAGAGCAGTCTGTGTGCAGTAGCTGAGAGTCCCAGTGAAGGGACTCAGAGAGGGACACCAACAGCATCTGCTACTGTGTCTCCGGAAAGATTGACACAAAGCCCGTAATATCACTTGCCTCTTGCAAGGGAACTGGCTGGCGGGGGGACAGCACTGGGAGGGAGACTTTTCACAGTGTATCCCCTTTATACTTACTGAGGTTTGAGCTTACGAGTATACTTTATTAAAATATACTGTGCTTTTAAAAGAAAAAATCCTGACTCAAATAGCCATATGGCTTTAGGGCTAAATTTATGTGCTGTGGTTACAGAATACCAAATAACTGGAAGACTAAAATTCTTCTTACTTGAGAAGCCCCAGTTCTCACAATTAATGTGGAGAAGAGAGGTGGAGAGGAAGGGCCCAGGAGCTAAACCTAACTTATTTTAGATACGGATGGCTGGAGGTTGTGAAGCTGGGCTTAACTTGTTGTTTTTTGCTTTCTCCTTTTTTTCTTCTAATCATAAGCGTGGGGCTAAAGCAGTAGAGCTGGGTTAGAACACATTAAATTAGCCAAGATAAGGGCGTGGCACAGCTGCATTTCAAAATCAGAATCAACAGTCTTGTAGAAGGGTTTCTGGTTGGTTTAAGTTGAATCTGTACTTATTCTTGACCCTCTTTTCTTGGGGTCAATATATCTTAGATGATTTTAAAACCACAGACGAAAAGCTATAAGCACAGATTGTCTTTTCGTGCCCATATCTGTCATTCCTAAGAATAATTGTTTAATTAGTTAATTAATTTTTGGAGCAGGGATTAAAACCAGGGCCTTTGCACTGAGCCTCTTTTTATTTTTTATTTTGAGATAGGGTTTTGCTGAGTTACTAAATTGCCCATTCTGAGCTCAAACTTGCACTCCTCCTGCCTCAACTTCTCAGAATCAAGAAGCAATCCACCAGTTTTAAATTGCACACTATTTTGAGTAGCGTGATGAAATTTTACACTGCCTTGCTCTGTCCTGCCAGGATATATAAATCGTTCCTTTGTCCAGCATAGCCGCGCTATGGAGTTTACCTACCCAGCAGTTGCTTAGTAGCCACCTGGTTATCAGACCGACTCTCCAGGAATCGCCATTATTTTACTTAATGGCTCCAAAATGCAAGAGTACTGCTGTTGGCAGTTCAGATATGCCAAAGAGAAGCCATAAAGTACGTCGTTTAGGTGAAAAGGTGCAAGTTCTTGACTTAATGAGGGAAAAAATTATTTGCTGAGGTTGCTAAGATTCTGTGGTAAGAACAAATCTCTATCCATGAAATTGTGGAAAAAGGGAAAAAACACTTAGACTAGTTTACTTTTGGACTCCAAACTGCAAAAGACGTAGTGACAGGGCATGATAAGTACTTAGTAAAGGTGGAAAGGCAATAAATTTGTATATATGTGGGAAAAAAGATACATAGAGAGTTTGGTACTATCTGCGATTTTAGGCTCCCACTGAAGAGAAGAGAGGGCTATTGTAGAGTGATTCCTGGATAAGTGCACAAAAGTTCATATGACTCATGTGACATCTAAGTGACCTTAGGAGGTAGGTTAGCAGTGGAGTTAGGGTTCCTAGGCTTAATTCTCAAATCTGTCTTCTTTTTAGGACTGCAAGTCAGACTGCAGATTCAGGAAACAAAGCTAAGAAGCTTACATTGCCTCTTTTTGGTGCCATGAAAGGTGGAAGCAAATTCAAATTAAAAACTGGAACAGTTGGGGTAAGTTGTAAATCCGGGTGTTAAACTTTTAGCTCTTGAGTGATCTCTGAGGTAGTTTTTCTTTCTTTTGAAAGTGCAAATGACTCATTCTGCAGTGAAAGGCTATGGGCTTGGTATGGTCGTATCTTTCTCAGAATTTGGTTGCTGGGTTTTTCTGTTCAGCTTAGAGTTACCAAGAAATGGTAGTCTGATTCATGCCAGTCAGTTTGCAAGTAACGCTTTTAAAATTAGAATTCCAATAAATTTTTTTTGGTACTGGGGATTGAACTTGGGACCTTGCGCTTGCAAGGCAGGCAGTGGAACTACTGAGCTAAATCCCTGCCCCTCCAATAAATTTTTAATAAATGTTGAATTTAAGAATGTATCTCCTACCTTTTTTTTTTTTTTGGTACTGGGGATTGAACTCAGGTCCTTGTGCTTGTGCAGCAGGCGGCGAAACCACTGAGCTAAATCCCCAGCCCTGTATCTCCTACTTTTGACTTGGTGGGTAGATATAATATTCAGACTCCGCTAACATGTTAGTAACATAGTATATACACCTTCCTCTGCCATCTGTTTTCCATACTTGATTGAATCCTCCCAACACTTTATAAGATGTGGAAATTACTATGTCTTACAGATGAGGAAATGGAATCAAAATAGTAGATCATACCATCATTATGTAACTAAGTTGGCAATCAGATCCAGGTCTTCTGTCTCTTAAGTTTTATGCTTCTCCTTTCCTACAGTAAGGCACTGATGTGGATTTTTGTTTTACATCTATTCCTGTTCATAGATTCTGCTTTTTAAAGGTTTTCATCACTCCAAAGACCTGGACCATGTGAATTAGCTTGTTAGGGCTGCCATAACAAAATACTGTAGATTGGGGGGCTTAAAGCACAGAAGTTTATTTTTTTGGAATTCTAGATGCTGCAAGTCTAAGATCACAGGGCTGGCAGAGTTGATTTCTTCCAAGTAGAAGATGGCTACCCTCTTGCTGCCCTTTCACATGATTGTCTGGTGTGTTTTTTAATGACACTGGCATGTTAGTTTAGGGCCCTGCCCTACATGCCTCATTTTGACTTATCTCAAAGACCTTGTCTCCAAATAGAGTCACGTTCTTAAAACTGGAGATTGAGACCTCAAACACATGGATGTGTGGAGGGACATAGTTGCACAATTCAGACAGTAATACTTTGAAGTAGGTTTAACTGTCCTTTGGGGGCACAGGTCTGAAGTCCCAGCTGTATATTCTGAATGAATTATGTGGTTTAACTAAGATGGAGGCCTTCTGGGAGAGGGTGGTTTTTATGTGTTGGTGTCCATCCGTCCATCCATCCATGTTTTTGTTGTTCTTGCTTTTTGAGACAGTCTCATTATGTGGTCCAGGTTAGCCTTGAACTTGCTATGTAGCTCTAGCTGGCCTCAAACTCAAGATCCTCCTGCCTCAGCCTCAGTGCTGGTATTATAGGCATGTGTAAACACGTCCAGCTATTTATGTTTTAAATCAAAGAAAAACACTTTTCTAAAATACTTCTCTTGGGGGATTACTAAACCAAATCCTATATTTAAAAAATGATGAAATGAAGGTCTACTTTGGTATGTTCTCTATTCTATAAGTGTGATCAATTTTTTCTAAGTACTTTTTTTGGAGGAAGGAAGTTTGATGTAAGTTTAAAAAAATTTTTTTTGCTTAAATTCTTTTATTGGTACATTTTAGGTGTACAATATGTTTACATTTCTCATTGGATGCTTCGGCCTGTACATGATGTATCTTGGTTCTTGTTTTTCCTCATTACCTGTGTGACCTTCACCCCCTCCACCCTTCCCTATTAAAAATTTTTTTTACTAGTACATATTTCTTTTTTTTATTTTAATTTTTATTTTTTTTTATTATTTGTATATATTTCCAGTACATAGTGATTACATTCATGGTGAGAAGTTGCACATGTACATAATACATTTTAATTCTTTTTTCACCCCTTCCCCTCCTTCCTCCCTCCATATCTTGGTCTCCTTCCTCCCTCCATATCTTGGTTCCCTTCCCATTTGCAAAAGATCTATTGTCCTGTTCCCTATTATCTATCTATTTTGCTCATTAATTTATTTATACTTTGGGTTTTTCAAATAATAAAAACCACATGCTATTTAAACTTGTTGGTCTAATTTATATCACTTAACATTGTGGTCTGCAAGTACCTCCATTGTCCTACAAATGACTCAGATCTATCCTTCTTTATGGCAGAGTAGTACTCCATTGTCGCGTTCGCCTTTGACCAGCAATGACGACGCAACACCAACGCTCTTCTTCTAGCAGTTTATTCAGGAAAACTTAACATTCTTTTTCTTCTACCCCTGGGGAGCACCCGTCCCTAGAATAAGTACCCCTGAACCAACCAATCACG